AGAGTCAGCTTTAAAAAAAAGAAAAAAAAAGCTTAAAAAAAGAAGCAACCATTTGAGGAAACAGAATACTTATCCTTAAGACAGAAACTTTAGAGGCAAAAAATAAAAGCATCATTACAGGCTGTGGAGCTGACGCAAGTGCGTACACAGGGATTCCCAGCAACGCAGCCATTAATAGACGCAAAGGAAGGGGCTTCTCTTTCATCTCCGTTACATTTCAAGGTCTTCTCATCAGCTTCCCTCAAACATAACAGGAATCGCTGTCCCTGTTTCCCCTAGAAAGCCCAAGTGCAAACTAATAACTATGTCATTAGTTCCTAGGACGCTGGCTTTGCTGTTGGTGACCGCAGGGAGGGGTGAGCTGACTTACCACTTCATTTCTTCGGCGGTCCTCCTCCCATGTCCTCCCCAGCTGCACTCGGGGTTCCTTGCATGAGTCCTTGCTTGCTGAGGGCCTCACAGCCTGCTAGCTGCCTGCTGTTGGGACTGTAAATGTCACTTTCAGATTAACCAGCCCCCGCTGTTTAAAAATATCCCTGGACGTTTAACCTTCAAGGCATTGAACAGCAGGAGTAAAAAGATCCACACCAGACCACCTGTGCGGTGCTGGCCACTCCGGGGAGAGTTCCGCCCTCCGACTTCTGATCCCATCATTCGCTTTATTTCAAAATTCTTAGATGTTAAAGACACGAAGCATCCAAGGTCCACCTTGTTGCGAGCAATAGGAACAAAGTCAATTTTGGCCCTCCTGGGACAAGCTGAAAATTAACTTCCTACAGGTGTTGGTCATTTGAGAAAAAAGCCCACAGTGAAAACCCTGAATGGGGAAGCTGATCTGGCTTCTCTCCCCTGAAAAGATTTGGCAAAACCCTCTCGAGTCATGCCACTGAATGGAACGGTTCCCATTTCTCGTGACTTGGGGATAAAAAAAAAAACAACAAAAGGTTTCCTTCCCAAGTCAGGGTTGCTGGCTCTTGCTGGAGCAGCTGCAGTCACAGAGTGTCCTCACTGCGGGGAGGGCTGGAGCCATGTGGGACAAAGGTCACCTCCAGGTCCCAGCCAGCGTCAGCAGCAGGGAAGCATGGGCCACACAGCAGTGTATTGTGCTCAAACAACAGGGAAGGGGGGACAGCAGTTTAGAGGCTCCACTTTCTGTAAACACACCTTACAAAATAAAATCTGACAGCAAGTGGAAAAACCAGCAAGAACAATGAATCCAAGCAGAACAGTTCAAATTGCTGCTGGAGCAAGTGCAGCACGGTACAGGAGCCACTTCATTTGTGGGCTTATTTTCCAAGAAGGAAAAGTCATCAAATACTAGACTTCCTGGGATTTTTCTCCACTGGACATGGAAGCAGGAAGGCGACTTCCTGTTACCCATGGAGCATCGTGGAGACAAAGCAAGGCAGGCCAAGTGCTTAGTGCAAGCCAGGCATGGTGGCGCACGCCTGTAGTTCCACCTACTCAGAGGCCAAGGTGGGAGGATCGCTTGAGCCCAGGAGTTCAAGACCAACCTGGGCCACATAGTGAGTTTTCATCTCTAAAAAAGTAAAAAAGCACTAGCACAATGCCCACCACATAAATTTTGATAAGACAACTTCATTCCAGAGAAGCTCATATAAACCCTTGGAAGAGGTGCTTCTCAAACAAACCATGTTTCCTGGGAAAGCCCATCTGTGATTCAAGGAAATTTTTAAAAATTCCATTAAATAAATTCCTTCCCAATGACTTCAAATCATAATGACTTTGAAATAAGGCCGATGGGTGTTCAAATCCTTGCTCCATGACTCTGAACGAATGGCTAAACTTCAGTGTCCTACTTTACCAAATGGTTGAAAAAATGAAATGACATATATTGAGCTGCTAGCACAGGGGCTGGCTCACAACAGGCACTTAATAGTATCTTTCTAATGAAATTCATTACTTTCAAAAAGACTAGAGACACACACACACAGATGAAGAACTCTGGTGGTCCAGTTCTCCCTTGACACTATCTCTTTGAGATGTAGATATTTTCTAGAATACAAATGGCAGGCTCAAAACCAAAGGTATTCATAAACTCTTTCCACCAAACACAAGAATATTAATAGAAACATAGTTCTTCAAACATGTTAGATTCAGAAAGTCAAATATACCAAGTTACTTGTCAAAAAAAAAAAAAAAGTGAACGCCTAGCCCAACAAAACAAGGCACCTGGAAAGAAGTTGTCAGTCTTTTTTTTTGACACAGAGTCTCACTTTGTTGCCCAAGCTAGAGTGAGTGCCATGGCATCAGCCTAGCTCACAGCAACCTGGGCTCAAGCAATCCTCCTGCCTCAGCCTCCCAAGTAGCTGGAACTACAGGCAAGCGCCACCATGCCCGGCTAATTTTTTTTCCTCTATATATTAGTTGGCCAATTAATTTCTTTCTATTTATAGTAAAGACAGGGTCTCGCTCTTGCTCAGGTTGGTTTCGAACTCCTGACCTCAAGCAATCCGCCCGCCTCAGCCTCCCAGAGTGCTAGGATTTCAGGCCTGAGCCACCACGCCTGGCCTGAAATTGTCAGTCTTGACCCCTTTATGAGAATGTAGATGCCTTCCCCCACCAATTAAATCAGAATTTCTGGGGGTGGAGTCTGGGTGTTTTTACTTGTCTGAAGCCTACCTCCCTCACTCCAAACACAACAACTGAGAGAGACCAAAGAACATAGGAAATCCTCAACCGAGAAGTATTGCTCTCCTGGTCTGCTCCACCCACCAACATTTGCATTTCCAAACATACTTCAAAAATTTGAAGACTAGTTCCAACTGAGATAATCTGCAAGACCTGCAAGGGAATTTTAAGTTGTAAGGCCCAAATTAAAGAGTCAGAGGACTCTAAATAGACTAAGACTCCGGCTTTCCTCAGCTTGAGTCAGCACAAGTCAACACAAGAGCCCCACCCCCTCCACTGTTTTTCCTTGTCTATCTGGAAGGTTTGGAAAGAGGAAGAGCCACTACCCTATGTCTATGCAAAAGTTTGCTTCCCCACTGAACACCCTAAGAGTTTTTATACCAGGAGCACATGGAGGCAGACAGTGAATTAAGAGGGAGAGAATATATTATCTAATAATGCAAGTAAGCTAGCAACATGCTAAAGTCTATTTTTTAAAAATGCAAACAATTCAGAGTTCCCAACCTTGCCCCACTAGACTCAGATCTATTTTTACAGTTATTTTAGAACTTGAGGTTTCCAATATACCACTTGCATAACACCTCACTTGTTTGTGTTACGAATTCCGAAAGCCTTCAGCAGATACTGTTTTCCTTACCTGGAAAGGGAGGACACAGGCATCATTTTTGGCCAGGCTCTTACAAGCCTTCCACATTGTGCCACGTGGAATCTCCAGACCCACACGGCGTGCGGATCCCCAGCTGCCTGGCTTTGCGTGGGCTGGCTCTTCTGTGTGGAATACTCTTGCTCCTCTTCTTGGCCTGGAAACTTTCTTCAATTCCCTCTTAAACATTCCTTCCACTGTGAAATTTCTTTCTTAGGCCTACCCACTGGTTGCTTTCTTTTTGTTCCCACCTCACCAGAGAGCGGGAGGACACAAGGGTCTGTAAACTGAGGCTTGTACCACCTGTTTTCCTATAGCTCCCAAGCCAGGACTGGTTTTTACATTTGTTAAATGGTTGGGGGAGAAAAACATTTCATGACACTTGGAAGTCATATTAAATTCAAATTTTAGTGTCCATAAATAAAGTTTTATTGGAACATAGCTTCATCCAGTTGTACATTTTGCCCACGGCTGCTTTTTCTACAATGCAGTTGAATAGTTCCCATGGAAACCAGATGGCAAAAACTATTTACCATCTGACCCTTCACAGAAAGTTTGCCACCCCCGACCTATTTTTGCATACCAAGTGCTAGAATCATAGCAAACTTTAAATGTGAAAAAAAATTACTACCGCATAGCTAAGAAGTAATCAAAATGAATTGCCTTGTTTCTAAAGAATCAGTGATTAAATCTGCATCTTTTTTTAGCAGGGGTTATAGACCATTTAAGATGCTTCTCTGTGTTCCAGTTAAAGCGTCACTAAGCTTCTAAATTTCAATAATTTTCTTAACTCAAATATTAGTAATTATTGTTTGGTTTCTGAATTATGTTAACTCAGTTCACTGCTGTCCCCTACTGGCAGTGCTGGGTAGGGAGAGAAGTGTCACAAGTTAACTGGTACAGAAAAATTAGCCCTTTACTTCTCCCAGGGATAGGGCAGTCCATTGTCATGTGCAGAACACCCCAAAGTTACCAGAGGATAAACATAAGGACAATGCGTCTGCCTTCTGTGAAAGACTGCTGATCACAAAACGTGGAATCACAAACCCTTCTCTTCACAGATAAGGCAGGTGCAGAGAGTTTTGCTTGGAAATACTGCTTCTTCTCCGCAGCCCCGTCCTTAGCTCTCACTGGATGCATTCTCTCGCCCATTAAAGGAAAAGCACACTTGTTTCCCCCTTCCTGATACTTGTAGCTTCTTCACCAGCCACTGGGGGATCCCACCTCTCATCCTAACAGTCCACCCAGCTACCTGGGCCAAGTTCGGCAGGGCAGCAAGCCATCAGGGAGTTGTCTAAGCGCCCCGGTCCCACACCTGAAGTCCAGATGTCCAGAGAAGAGTCTAGGAAGAGGGAGGATGCAGGAAGCTCCCCTTGACTGTCCCAGGGCTTGGCAGAAGGTACCCACAAGGGGCACACCAAGATGGCCAAAAAATGCTTTCCTTAGGCCAGAACCTTCTTCCTCTTTGGAGTCTCAGGGGTGCTGCTTCTGCAGGGGGTGGGACCCAGCTCCAGCTAAGGAGCAGGGGGCAGGGAGGAAGATGAGCTGGGGAGGCTGCCCTTCCTGCAGACAATGGTTACCAAGGGGACCCTGGCAGGGGGCCAAGCAGGCGCCAAGTACAAGGGCAGCCCAAGGGCTTCTGAGGACAGCCAGGCCCCCACACAGCCCAGCCAAGCCCAGCCACACAAAGGACACTGCACAAAGCAAAATGTCAACAATCTTTATTAACAAACTCACTTGCTGCAGGGTTAACTCTTTAACCCCACCACCAGCAAATACAGCATCGCTGACTAGATCAAGCATGGAGAGGTACAGACTCAATAAAGACTGTCTTAAAAGAGGATTGAAAAAATATATATATCTGCATATTTTTTTGAAAAACTAAAATTTTCCAGTGTTGCAGAAAAAAATATCCCAAAGTGATTTCAGTCCATAAAAAACAGCATTTGGCAGTCCGTGCTGCCTTAAAAACCCAACTCAGGATAACCCTAGGAGCAAACCACCCCCTAACTTAAAAAAAAAAAATCCCCTTTTCCTCTTCCTTGTTCAACTTTCACTGCCTATTCCCCAAAACACCCAAATGACAGGATAAATAACATCCAGCCCACTTCTCTTGGCCCCTATCACCAAGGAGTATTCCCTAGGAATCTTCACCTCTACTACAATCGAGGAATTGACCTCTCATTTCTGGGCCAGATACCTAGAAACCTGCAAATTATCCTCATGCTTCCTTCCAGGAAGGGCCTGAGGGCACCTTGAAAGATCAAGCGGGTGGTATACCTGGCCAGGCTAGAACGCCTGCTGGGCTGAGAACAGGGGGGCTCTTCTAAGCAAAAATAAGATACCCCAACGCTTATAACTGAATGTCTAACCTACCAGGCAAAAACAAGTTGCAGCAGGCACCAAAGTATTGGCTGCCCCAAAAAGATGCACATCTCCCCTCTTTAGCCTAAAGGTTAAGAGAAGGGAGTGGGAGAATTTGACCTCATAGTGCACACCTTAGACTGAAGCCATAGTGCAGAGAAAGATGTTCAGTCAAAGGGTAGTTTTCACTGTGTCTGGATGGATAAAGCTGCCATGGCGGCTTTCTGGAAGCTTTTCTCCCTTATGCAGCGTTTTAAAAAATAGGGAAAGTTTCAATTCAGCTTTGTAACTGACAAATACTTTAACAGCAGCTTCTCAAAAACCACCAATGGAGACAGACCACCCCTCAGCCAAGGATCATAGCTCTTTCCAGTCAATGGGCTTCTTGCCAGACTTCTGCAGCAGCTCGTTGGTCTTAGAGAAATGTCTACAACCAAAGAAGCCTCTGTACACTGACAGCGGGGAGGGATGAGCAGTCTGCAGTACGTGGTGCCGCTTCTGAAAAAGAACAGGAAGAGAAAAGGTGGCAGATTTGAGATTCTTCTTTTTTAAAAAACTATGAGCTAGGCTGACGCCGCGGCACTCACTCTAGCCTGGGCAACAAAGCGAGACTCTGTCTAAAAAAAATAAATAAATAAAAATAAAAAAATAAAAAGACTATGGCTGGAGATACTGTGCTTGAAGTGTGCACCGATACGTCCCGTGGTGCCAGCGCCTGTTTTGATCACCACATTACCATGTTTTCACCCGAGGGCCGGCTCTACCAAGTAGAATATGCTTTTAAAGCTATTAACTAGGGTGGCCTTACACATCAGTAGCTGTCAGAGGGAAAGACTGGGGAGTAATTGTTACACAGAAGAAAGTGCCTGATACGTTACTGGATTCTAGCACAGTGACTCACTTATTCAAGATAACCGAAAACATTGGCTGTGTGATGACAGGAATGACAGCTGACAGCAGATCCCAGGTACAGAGGACACGCTGTGAGGCAGCTAATTGGAAATACAAGTATGGCTATGAGATTCCTGTGGACGTGCTGTGTAAAAGAATTGCTGACATTTCTCAGGTCTACATGCAGAATGCTGAAATGAGGCCTCTTGGTTGTTGTATGATTTTAATTGATATAGAGGAAGAACAAGGCCCTCAGGTGTACAAGTGTGATCCTGCAGGTTACTACTGTGGGTTTAAAGCCACTGCGGAAGGAATTAAACAAACTGAGTCAACCAGCTTCTTTGAAAAAAAAAAGTGAAGAGAAATTTGATTGGACATTTGAACAGACAGAAGAAACTGCAATTATATGCCTGTCTACTGTTCTATCAATTGATTTCAAACCTTCAGAAATAGAAGGTGAAGTAGTTACAGCTGAAAATCCTAAATTCAGGATTCTTACAGAAGCAGAGATTGATGCTCACCTTGTTGCTCTAGCAGAGAGATTAAACATTGTTACTAGTTTACCAAATACATAATGCCACTTGCCTGTGTGTTTGGCAACAAATCAACATTATGGAGGCCCCTGGATTGAGAAAGGAACCTTTCCCACACCTACAGCTGTGAAGTGGTAGGACTCTGTATAAATAAAAACAATCCTTTTGGGGAAAAAAAAAAAAAGACTATGGCTGTTGCACTTTTAAGACCTTGTGCAATTTCCCTTTGCCCTCTCTAAATTCTCCCATGTTCCAAAGTGGAGCACTCAGCATTTGTATTGGAATACAAGTCCATCTGTCAAGCAACTACTTTGGCTAGGCTCTTAGATGCAAAGAGGAACAGTCTCAGCCTTCAACTTGGCAACATCTATGCAATTTTTAAGTGCCCACATCTTAGCAACAACTGTGCTAAGACTGTATTTACTGAAGGATACCATGATACGTATACAGGTGCTGCCTCACTTACGGTGGGGTTATGAACCCACCCCAAGTTGAAAATATCTTAAGTTCAAAGTGCATTTAAATACATCTAAATGACCTGTTAACAATCACAGCTTCGCCTAGCCTACCTCAAGGGTGCTTAGAACATTACCCTATAGTTGGGCAAAATCTAACACAAAACCTACTTTATAATAGTGTTGAATTTCTCATGTGATTTACTCAATGCACTGACAATGAGAAACAGAATGGCTGGAGAGATACTCGAAGTATGGTTTCCACTGAATGCTTATCACTCTTTTACTACTATAAAGTTAAAAAATCCCCCAAAGTCCAACCTTGTAAGTTGGGGGCCATCTATTCACATCAGGGAGCTCACTGTAGCACACTGCTGCTATCAGCTAGAACCTAATATAAACCCAGTCATGGAATTGGCTTAAATAAAAAAAATACCTTACTTATACCCTGAATAGTCTCACCATAAAAATGGAATAGTCATGCATTGTCTGATGAGATCTCCTCTGAGAAATGCATCATTAGGCGATTTCATTGTGTAATCAGAGTGTACTTACACACCAGATGGCATAACTTACCACACACCCAAGCTGTATGCTCTAGCCTATTGCTCCTACAAACCTGTACAATATGTTACTGTACTGACTACTATAGGCACCTCTAACACAATCGGAAGTATTTGTGTATCTAAGCATTATGAAAACGTAAAAAAGGTAAAAATATGGTAACAGAATCTTACAGGACCACTGTCATACATGTGGTCTGTTTTTGACCAAAATGTACTGCATGACTGTACTTTGATTTTTTAAAGGTCAACTGTAGTTATGTGAGTAGGGAGATTGTGGGCCATTTTTGTTTTTTTCTTCTTTTCTGCATATAAAAACCAAAAATGGCCAGGTGTGGTAGCTCACACCTATGATCCTAGCACTCTGGGAGGCTGAAGAGGGAGGACTGCTTGAGCCCAGGAGTTTGAGGTTGCAGTGAGCTATGATGATGCCACTGCATTCTAGCCAGGGCAACAGAGCAAGACTGTCTCAAAATTTTTTAAAAATTGTTTTTAATTTAAAAAATAAAAACAAATCAGTGTTTCTCAAAACATCCCCGCCTTCCAGAGACTCAGACCAGCAAGGGTGGTAATTAAAGTGAAGTGGCCCAATATGGCTGAAAGCACAGAGCCTAGAGCCAGACTACCTGGGTCAGAGGCCCAGCTCTGCCGTGCAGTAGATTGCGTAACGTGTGGAAGTTGCTGCAACTCTCTAAAGCTGCTTGGGTTTTTGTGTGTAAATTGGGAGTAACAGTATCTTATGAGGTTACAATGAAGGTCACGGGATAGAGTATTACAGGAAGTAATGCATATCACGTGCTGAGCACACCTCTGGGCAGTGCAGGCTCCTTCCTGTGAGCTTCAGCTATGGTGAGCTTTGAAGGGTAAGTTAATCAGCCTCCCAGGAAGAAAGGGACCTCCACATTCTGGGCAGAGGAAGCAGGATATGCAGAGAAAAAGAAAGGCAGAGAAGTGGGGCCAGTGAGAAAATACAGGCGGATCTCAGCCTGGAGCCCAGAGGAAAAAGAGGCAAGTCACAGTTGAAAGGCTGGCTGGGGGCCATCCCCCCAAAGCAGCCTGCCAGCCTGAGCCAAGGCTTTCCAGGGAAAAAGTGTCCGCACTCTCCAGGCAAGATCAGATGAGGACCTAGACCAGCAAGGCTATGAGGATGGACTTGACCAAGTCCACGGGGAAGAAAGAACAGATATAAGTGATAACACAAGGGCAGGTGAGGGGGAAGTGGTGGTAGGGAAAGGAGGAGAAAGAAGTAGGCAGGTGTCAGATATGGCGTTCTGGATTTCTAGTTGGACAACTGGGCAGATGGTGGTACCTTATGGCTGGAGAGTAGAGAGAGGACAAAGTTCAATCAGGGACTGATGAGTAAAGGGAAAATTTAGTTTGGAAAATGTTGAATTTGATGTGCCTACGGGACAGTGGTAAGGAGGCACGCTATAGACCTAGATCTCAGGAGAGACACTGGGCTGGAGACAGGCAATTTGATTTTAGTGATCAAGCTACTTTAACAACTGTTTGCTTTTAGACCGAACCATGTTTAATAACAAAGATTACCAATATGCTGAATAAGAGCTCTACTAGCCATAAAACTCCCTAAGGGACAGATTAGAATGACTCTCACACACTTTTCTTATACAACTAATCAGATCTTAGTGGTCCATAAGGTCAGATCTTAGGTTGTTCATACAGTAAGTTATTGCTACCGCAAAGGCTTTGCAAAAGTTAAGGTTGTGCATGAAAAGTGTTGAACTCCATGCCCCATGTTCGATATATTTGCCATTTCTGATATACCAATTACCTCCTGCTGATACTCCAGACCACCATCCTCTCTGATGGGCGGGAAGGATTCAAGGATGATGTCTAGGTCTCTGATTTCCACAACCAGGCACACAGGTGCTTCAGTAAATGAAGGGGAAGAACAGAGAAGGAGCAGGCTGGGCGAGGATGCAGGAAGGGCAGCAACTGGTTTGCTCATGTTGGGAGTTCACAATTAGACTTCAGGTTTAATGACTGTAGTGGTTTCATGAGGAAGTTAAATTTGTGATTAAGTAGAATTCTTGGTGTTTTCTATATGCTCCCAGATTTCTTGGAAGGAAGAAACTTGCCTTTTTCATTATTTGTAGGATCACTTGTTAAATGAATGTGACCCAGGGACCTCTGTATCTTCTATGTATGTGACAAGTTCATGTCTACATTACTAATTGCATTAAGGTTGGCCATTTGCTTTCCTCACACATAACTCATCATCATTCCTGTAATTTGTCTGAATTCAGCTCAGTTTTCAATAGGAAACTCAACCCTAAGTTTTAAGGGAAAATAAAATTTATTTTATGACATGTATCTTCTAGGACCACACATGAGGATTCCTAGAATTCTCTAAACTGTTTTAAGTGTTTAAAGTAAACATACCCTATCGATGGCACTGCCCTTCTTCTGAGCATAAGAGCCCCATAGCAGGAAGACAAGGCCATTCGAGTTCTGATTTAGCCAGGACACAACTGCATCGGTAAACTGTTCCCAGCCTCTCTCCTTATGAGAATTGGCTTGATGGGCCCGCACGGTGAGGACAGCATTGAGGAGAAGAACGCCTATAAACACACACAGGGGAAAGAGGTTAAACGTAGACTCAGGCACATCAGCTAAACCACCCAGCAACAGGGGTTACACACATGCTGAAACCACATGCTTGACAGGTGGGCCAAAGGAAAATAGGTTACAAAGAAAGCATTACAACACTACCAGCTGCAACCTTTAGGTGAGAAGATCGGAGAGCATTTTATTCTCCTCTTCCAGTTTGCTGCAGTGGACGTGCCTTATATGCCCCCATCAGAAGGAATTGTTTTAAAAAAATCCCAAGAGATATTGGCATCCCAGGAACACTATAGGCCAAAATGATTCATGGAAACAAAAATCAAACTGCAAGAAACCAAAGAATAAATATTTTCTTTATCCTGGTTGTAGAGTGTCAAAAAAAGTCTCCCAGATAGGTATGAACACACACATGTACAACCCACGTGTCAAAATGAACAGTCAGTCTGGGCAATATAGCAAGATCTTGTCCCTACAAAATATAAATTAGCCAAGTACAGCAATGTGAGCTTGGAGTCACAGCTACTTGGGAGGCTGAACCAGAAAAGGTTGAGCCTGGGAGTTCAAGGTTGCAGTGAGCTATGATCACACCACTGAACTCTAGCCTGGGCAACAGAGCGAGACCTTATCTCTACAATACAAACAAATAAGCGTCCCCTGCCTCCCCTAAAAAACTATGTGAGCCCACCTTTGTAATGGTCAGAGTTAGGTAAAGTGGATAAATTTTTTTAAATATTAACAAGGAACACATTTGTCTTTCTAATTATAATTGAAACATGAAAGAAAACATTGGCTGCAAAATAAAAACTTACATACTTTTTCTACTTATATAAATTAGCCATTTTATTAGCGCTCATTAGTTCTTCATGGCAGCCCTTTCAAAAATATTAAGGAGCAGGACAGAGAAGACAAGCCTGAGGGCCCCAGTCCAAAGTACATCACACACGAGTTGGTCTACCTTGCTTGGCCCACCCAGACAGGTCTCCATGGCCGGGATGAACAAAACCATCTATGTCTGTAGACAGCTCTTTGTAAATGTTTTCCAAACTAAAAGCAAGTTGGAAGAAAAAGAAAACAGATTAAGTATAATTTTGAAAGCTCAGTAACCTCTAAGATACATATGAAAAGATTAGAGGTTACAGCCAGCCTTTGGAAAGGACAATGGAACACATGGTGCCAAGTAATGAGATAAGCACCACCGGTTTACCTTCTGATAAGGTAATCTGCCAAAGACCTTTCCTTTGCTCTGTGCTTGGATTTAGGAATAGCACTTTGGAAGAAGTAATTAGCCCAGGAGTTACAACTTACCCATCCCCATTAATGCCCAGTTACACTTTTATATATTTACCATATTTATGTACATTTTATGTACATAAAATCTTCCAAAGCAGCAGTTCTTAACCAACTTCTGTTCCTTCTGGCAATATCTGGAAATATTTCATTGTCCCAACGGGGGGCTGGGGTGCCTCTGGCACCCAGTGGGTAGAGGTCAAGGATGCTGCTCAACACCCTACAACACACAGGACAGCTCCCCTCTCCCACAACAAGAGTGACTCAGCCCCACATGTCAGCAGGGCTGAGGTTGAGAAATCCTGCTCCTAAGGCCAACGAAAGTTCCTCAAAATAGTCCCACCTGTTATTCGCAAAGTACACCTCGGGAAGTTATCACGATTGGACCAGAGCCATTTGTAAAGCAATTGTACCTGGGCGGAGGTGGAACAGGTCTTTGAACACTAAAGCAGAGCCCGTGAGCTTGATTGGGTCCATGATATGGATCCTGTCCCAGGATAACCACCTTTACCTGTGAACACCAGGTGGCAAGAATTAATGCTGTAGTGTAGGCAGTCTAAATGAACACTTGGCAGACTGATAACCTACACAAAGGGACACAATGAAGGGAGCCGTTCTTCATCCACTGAGAACCCCAAGAACGGAGTAACTGAGCACAATTACTTCCCATTACCAAATTATTCTTCAATTACCCTAATGCACTGCTCCACCCCCTTCTGACAAATGTTTGAAACAATTTGGGGTCAATTTTGCTTTCATCCCCTTCATTTTTCAAATTACAAAAGTAAACATGCCCTTGGCACAAGCAGAACCATCCAGAAACATACAAAAGGGCTTACCATCTCCTGGTCACCCCTATCACATCCTGAGTTAACCATTTTTAGTTACCTATATATACATACATAAAATTGACATTACTGTACTCATTACCCCACATCTTGTATTTCTCATGTCACATTTCGGGCATCCTTCAAGAGAACAGAGAGCTCAATCACTAGTCACGGGCAGACAGCTTGTTTCCCAGTGTTTTCTATCACAAAAACATTGCAGTAAACATCCTAGTATGTATATCCTCACACACTGTTGCTTTTACTTCTATGGCGTAGATCTGCACTAGTGGAGATGCCGATCAAAGGACAGGTGGATTTTGAACTTTATCATAGAGATGTGTTCAGTTACTTTTCAATGAGTTGAAGCAATTCACATTCCCAACCAGCAACACTGGCAAAGTGCCGGTTCCCCTACATGCTCTAACACTGGGCTTCTGAACCCTGGGCTGCAGCCTGCAAGGAACTGGGCCGCTCGCATTGCTGCCTGAGTGAAGCCCCATGGCTCACATCACCACCTGAGCTCTTCCCCACCACACCATCGGTGTAAAAATTGTCTTCCATGAAACCAGTCCCTGGTGCCAAAAAGGTTGGGGACAACTGCTCTAACAGGTGGAGGAGCCAGAAGAGAATGAAGTCAGGTCAAAAGGGCTATGGGAATAGGTGGCAAGCAATGAAGCAATGAAGAGTAATGAGGCCACCTGTCACAGGAGGTGTTGAAGTATTAGCTGGTGCATCCTTTTGATCCGGTGCTTGCTTGCCCATCCAATCTCCCTCCTCATGCCCTGCCCACATGTTCTTTCTTAGAATCTTCCTCCACAGCTGACATACTCTTTATCCTTCAGAATCCAGCTCCAGACATCCCATCACCAGGAAGCTTTTGGGGACCTCTCGTGCCTCCTCTTGGTACTCACACTGTTGCCAGCATATTCTCTGCATGAAGCAACCTGTCCCTGTAGAGCAGCTTTCCAGCTGTGACCTCTGGTCCTGGAGGAGGGAGCACTGTGAACAAGCTACCTGCCATGGCTCTGGATGCTCGTCTGCAAAGCTGCCCGCTGGCCCATCCGATCCTCATAGGTTTGATTCTTTTGAGTCCTCCCTGTTTGTATGATCACTGGTATTGAGGACAGGGCACTCATATAAGGAGCAAACTGAATTTAATTAAACTGAATTTAATTCCAAAACCAAGAGTTCTAAGTTCTTGCTCTAAAATGAAATTGTGAAAGTATCTAAGTATCAGGTGTGGCTGCCTTATCAAGATGGTTTATTCACCTATTCCATGCCTGTTTAACAGGTATTTATTAAGTTCATACTGTGTTGAAGCCACAGATAAGCATCTGAACAGGAGACTAATTTGACCAGAGCAGCCAATCAGCAACTGTTATATAGGATGAACTAAAGCAAAGAGATTTGTTAACAGGATAGCAAAACTATTCAGGCCAGATAAAAGTCAAGAGCTTTAAAGTGTCAACTATAAGATAGTGTGGTCAAGTCAGGGTGGGGTCAACTATAACTAGTTGAAAGAGACCTAACTGCTTCGTGTTTCAGTTTCCTCATCACCACACAATAATACCTAACGCTGGTATGGGGTTGGTTTCAGGATTAAATACTGGAAATGAAGGCACACAGACTAGGTCTATGTACATATCTCTTTCATGTTTGCTGAATAGCACATGTTCATAAGAAAAAAGACAGGCTGAGATACAGTCAGTCAAACCTCACAATTTCAGTGTTTTGTTTACTACTGAATTATGGACTGCAGCTTAATTCCAGTGTTCCTAATTAAAATATACTACCGTGTTTCCCTCAAAATAAGATAGTGTCTTATATTTAGTTTTCCTCAAGACGACACCCTATGGCTTATTTTCAGGGGATGTGTTTTTTTAAGTATAGTACAACAATCTACAATTCAAATATAATTAAGTCGTCTTCTTCTGGAACATCATCACAGTAAAATGGCAGTCACAGCTTTCCTTCTTCCCCCTGGGGACACACAATACCTAAAGCAGAACGTCTGGCTCCTCACTTCACTGAGGGGACTTTCCCCTCAAAGCCTCAGCTTGCAGCACGCACAGGATGGCCAGGACCTCATGAGGAGCCAATCTTGTTGGTGGGGGTGCCCGCACCTTTCCGGTCACCTCTGGAATAGTAGCTGTCACGATGGGGCAGATGAGAAGGGCTGCTTGTCTTCTTTACTGCTCTGGGACGAAATGCATGGGTTGTGCAGACGTGCTGCGCAGCCACGCCCATCACTAGGTCTTATTTTCAGAGTAGGGCTTATATTTCGCAAATGCTTAGAAATCCTGCTAGGGCTTATTTTATGGGTAGGTCTTATTTTTGGGAAGACACAGTATTTGATTCCCTCCCCAGACAGAATTCATTAACAACTTGTACTTACATCTCTTATGTCACACATTTGGGTCCACGTGAAGACTTGGTGTGGAGGTGGATACACGGTGTAATGTTTTCTTTCTTCTGCAACAAATCCCATTAGCTGATTTAAAGATAAACTCGACTTAAAATCAGACTCTCACTGGAAACCATACAAATTCAGTAAGAAAGCTAATGCAAGTTATTTGAAGCACCACCTAAAATCCAAAAGGATTTTATATTCAAATTCTTTATTTTTTGGTAAATATTTAGTAAATTCAATTTTTTTTTTACTTTCTTTTTCTCCTGAAGCAAAGCAGCAGGTAATATTCAAATTCTTTAAAACAAAACAAAAATTGCACCCACCTCCAGTTCTTTAATCACATCAATTCCCTGCTTTAATTTCCTGAGGAAGCCACCCCACACACACTTTTTTTTTTTTCTTAAAGGCCAAACCAGGTTTCATTCAGTTCAGGCTGGTGGTTTTATTAAGCCAGCATTTCCTGGAAAGCAAAACGCTCGAAAGAAACCGTGATATGACCGGGCGCGGTGGCTCCCGCCTGTAATCCTAGCTCTCTGGGAGGCGGAGGTGGGTGGATTGCTCAAGGTCAGTAGTTCGAAACCAGCCTGTGCAGGAGCGAGACCCCGTCTCTACTATAAAGAAATTAATTGGCCAAATAATATACATAGAAAAGATTTGCCAGGCGTGGTGGCACATGCCTGTAGTCCCAGCTACTCGGGAGGCTGAGGCAGGAGGATCGCTTGAGCCCAGGAGTTTGAGGTTGCTGTGAGCTATGATGACGCCACGGCACTCACTCTAGCCTGGGCAACAAATCGAGACTCTGTCTCAAAAAAACCCCCCAAAAAACCGTGATATCTCGTAGTCTAACAACGCTAACCAGAGTTGGGACTGAAAAGGTCATGGCTTTGTTTTACCTCCTTTGCGTGAAGAGGACGTTGAAGGAGGGAAAGAAAACAGGAACCCACGGAAGCCATGTCCTGTAATCGCGGACTCGGGCTGCTACCGCGCTCACACGACAAAGGGCCAGCGGCCTCCACGCCTACCTTTATAAAATACGGTTTCCCGAATTCTCCGCTGAGTTGCTTCTTCCAACTCTCACCGAAGCCCACGGGCACGTTGCGGGCCGCGAGCCTGAGCAGGGCCGCGGCCTTGTTCCTCTGGATGCGGACCAGCTGCTCGGGGCTCAGCGGCGAGGAGGGCGGCGTGCCGGGCTCGTCCTGCCCGGCCCGGGCCTTCTTGGCGGGGCTGGCCTGCAAGGGGTCCCCGCAGAGGCGGGTCACGAGCTGCTGCAGCGGCCCTTTGCCAGGCGCCCGCAGCTTCCGGCCCAAACCCAGCAGCCCGCGGCACAAGGTGCCCATTTGCCGAGCAGGTCGGAGCAAAACCGGACACTGGGAGCCCAGGGCTAAGCCCGGCCCGGAAATTTGCAGTTGGGGACTAAAACGGTGCGGGGAAAGGGGCTGAGGGACCCGCGGGAAGGGGGACCCTACCGGGAGGCGCCCCGCCCCCGCCGAGCCCGCCACTAGCGCGTCCCCACGCGAGCATTTCGCGGCAAAAACGCCCCCGCCAGGATCCCACCCCTCTCCCTCCTCTGATTGGGCAGCAAGCCGAGCGGGGCGGGCCCGGGGCGCGCCGATTGGTGCGGTGGACCGCGAGGCTCGTCCCCATTGGCTGGCCCCTCAGCATGGCGGCCGCTGAGGGACCGCGGCGGCTATTTTGAACACGTGGAGGCTGTTTTGAACACCGCCCCGGCTTGCCGAGTTGGCGGCGCGCTCTTGCACCCCCTCGGTCAGGGGGGGACCCACAGCTTCCCTCCTCCTCCCTGGCTCCCCCGGCGCCCGAAGCAGTCTGCGCCGCGACTCACCGCCGCATCCCCGCTCTCCTCAGCTAAGGCCGCCACCCCGGTCCCCAGGCCGGCCGGCTCGGGGCTGCGGGAACGTCGCTTCCTAGCGGGGCTCGGGGAGAAGAAGGAGTAGAGCGTCTTCTGGCCGATCATCCCGGAGCCGAGGAGGGAGCGAACACGCGCCGCCCGGGGACCAGCGAGGCGTGCGCTGGCTGTGGCGATCCGAAATTGGCGCCAAGCGGGCCGCGCATGCTCCGAGCGGGGGGTTTTGCTGGGGGCAGGGGGCGGCGGAGCGCCCAGCGCGCATGTGCAGTGCAGGGGCAGCCGCGCAACGCCCCCGGGGCGAGGTGGGGCTTGCAACGGTGCGGGGGGCTTACTCTTTCATTCATTTGGGCCACTGGATCCAACTCTGCCTTTTGGAAGGTCCCAACACATCTTAGCTGTAAAAAGAAAAGTACCTGCCCCTTAGGTGTGTTATGGGAGTGAAATGAGCAATATAATAGTATTGGCTGAGCTCTTATGTATATGATCTCACCCCAAGTTTTAAAACCTATTTTTTACTGAAGACCAGCTAAGGCTTAGAGCAGCCAAACATTTTGCCTAACCTATAAAGTTTGGGGGAGACTTTCATTGAGGTCATGGAGGTTAAACTCCTGATTCACCCTCCAAATGTCCCCGCCTTATGCCACCCCTTCCCCCACCATACACCTAGCTCTTTTTTGGTTCTATCTCCAAAATAAATCCCGAATTCGACTACTGCCCTTCCATCTCCTGGCGACAATCCCAGCTGGTCTTCTCTTTCCTAGGGAGGGATTGTAATGGAATGGCCCGAAAAAAAAAGAGGCAAAAATATTTTCTGTCTCTTTAACACATCCTGCATTCCTTTTTGAGAACTAAAGCCTGCATCCCTGCCTCTGGCCAGTGGTTGGGAGGGGCAGGGTAAGTCTTTTGTTATTTGTGCAACCGGAGATGGCCCAGCCCCTACTACTGTTGAACTATAATTGCCCGAAGCTGAGAACCCATCCTTTAAAAGCTCTGTATTTCTGCGCATTATGAGGATGAAGGGGTTTCAGACTGGAGTCTCTATCCTTTTCCTTTGCTGGCAAAGTAATAAAAAATATCTCTTCCCTTCCTCTCCTCAAACCACTTGTCCTTGTTCTTCTGATTGGGCCTCATAGACAAGTGGCTGAGCTTTCGGTAACAGGATTTTTTGACATCAGGACAATCAGGTTAAAACCCTTCTGTGGTTTCCAAACAGGCTTAGAATAAAACCCCAGCTTCTTACCCAGCCTGTAAGGCTGCTTTCTTCTCTGACCAAATCTCCCTTCCCTACTTCAGAATCCAACTTCCGGAACATTTGCTGGACACGCCCAGCTTGTCCCCCTTCACACACTTGCACACGCTGTCCCCCATCAGGTCTGGGCTGAACTCCCTTCTCCTACCACCCCACTTTCTAGCTCATCGCTCTATTTATAGCTGTTATACTACATAAAATTGTCTTATTTATTCTTTCCTTGTTTGTTCTGTCTCTGTCTCCAAAGTGTAACCGGGGCAAGGGCGGGAGCATTATCCTTCTCGTTGCTGGTGTGCCTCAGTGCCTAGGACAGGAGCAGACATGCAAAAAGGGAGAGAAGCTCATAATTGAAAATCATTTGCTTTTACAGACACTTTGAAAAACAGTTCAGCTGTTTTGTATAAAGTTAAATGTTCACTTACCATGTGACTCAGCCATCCCATTCCTCGGCATTTGCCCAAGTGAAACGAGAAGCTGTATTCACACAAAAGCTTGTACATGAATGTTTATAGCGATTTTACTCACGGTTGCTTAAAACTGGAAACAATCCAAAAGCCCCACTGGCACGTGGTGCTGCCTACTGTGTGGATCATGGGATGGAATACTACCCAACGGTAAAAAGGAACAAACAGCTGATACAAAAAAATATGTATCTTAAAAGCAGTGTGCTTAAGTGAAAGAACTCACACACAAAGGCTATATATCGTATGATTCCACTTATATGAAATTCTGGAGGGGGAGAGTTAATTAATAGGCTGAAGGAGTTTTGTGGGTGATGGAGCTTTGTGGGTGATGGAGTTTTGTGGGTGATGGAACAGTTCTAACTCTTGATTGTGGTAGTAGGTCATACAATATTGTACATTTGTCAAAATGTGCATTACTGGCCAGGCTCAGTGGCTCATGCCTGTAATTCTAGCACTCTGGGAGGTTGAGGCGGGCAGATTGCTTGAGGTCAGGAGTTCGAAACCAGCCTGAGCAAGAGCGAGACCCTGTCTCTACTATAAATAGAAATTAGTTGGACAACTAATACATATAGAAAAAATTAGCCGGGCATGGTGGCGCATGCCTATAGTCCCAGCTACTCGGGAGGCTGAGGCAGTAGGATCGCTTTAGCCCAGGAGTTTGAGGTTGCTGTGAGCTAGGCTGACGCCATGGCACTCACTCTAGCCTGGGCAACAAAGTGAGACTCTGTCTAAAAAAAAAAAAAAAAAAAATGTGCATTACTATGAACTAAGACGCTTCAAAACAAAGCCCCCCATCTCGTAGGAGTTTCATTCCAATGGGGGTAGATAGAAAGTAACTAACACTTAGGAGCAATAATCAAAACTCACATTTATCTGGAGCACAGTAGCACTTCTCGCACGCCCTGTCATTTAATCTTCACGGCACTCTCATGACATAGGTGTTGCAGTCCCCACTTTCTGGATGAGGCAGTTCAAGCCCAGAGAGGTTAAGTGACCTGTGAGAACCCACACAGCTACAGTGGAGGAGAGAGAAACAAAAGCCACGGGGTCTGACTGCAGAGCTCATGTTACCACCAGCGACAATATGCGGTTCCCCAGCTCCCTGTCCGGACACGAAGGTAACCCTCAGTGAGATGTGACACCAAATAATAGTTCTCGAACCATAGATGATCCTTGACAGTTGCAGAACGAATGTTAAACCGGAACACGCAATGCTTGCAACGCATCGAGGGAGCCAGCAGGTGGCGCCAGGAGACCGCGGGGCTGCTTGTTTTGCAGACGTGCCTGCACGTCCCAGCGTGCCCCGGAAGTCGGCGCGGAAGCAGAGCTGCGGGTGCGTGTCTTTCCCGCCTCCCAGGGCCCTTCTAGGGTGTTTGCAGGACTCGCAGCTGTGCCGCTGCAGTCCGCGATATGGAAGAGAACCCTCGCCACCCGCAACCCACGCACGTGCTACCATTCTTACCGCCAGAATTGCGTTTGCCCTTGTTTCACTGGTTTGCATTTAGGTGCCGCGTCATATCCATTTGAGAACACTCTGCCTACCTGTTTTAATACCGGCGGGGGGCGGGGCGGCCAGTCATCCCTCCCCATTAACGGGGTGGGCAGGAGCTAGCCTGTTTTTCTGGGTGACTTTCCTGCGCTTCTTGGGCAAACCCATTCCCCTCTCTGGGCGTCAGTTTCCCCATTTGTAAAATGAGGGCTTGGCTTGTCTATGTTTCCAAATTTGGTTGTGGCATGTGAATTCCCAGGGGAGAGTCCTTTAAAAATTCAGAAATTTGGGCGTGGAGCGCAGGCATCTGGGTTTTTGCAAGCTAGCCAGCTGATTGTGATGCACAGCCAGGTGTGGGAGACCCTGGACCAAATTGTCGCCAGGGGTCCCCTCCTGCTTTACTGTCCTCTACTTCCTTTCTAGGACATGGATTTAATTTTTAAAATGGCAACTTAGGAATGTTGCTGTGGAACCACTTTGACGAACAGGGTTTTGCACTGGGGACAAAACCTGGGCGATCTCTTTGCCTTGCCAGTGATGTCCATTTCTTTCCTGTGGGGAAACAGGATGGACAGATTCCTGGTGAAGGGGGCTCAAAGGGGCCTTTTGGGAAAAGGGGAGGAGCAAGAGCAGACCGGAGAGGTGCCAGTCACGTTGGGAGATGAGGAAAGCGCAAGGAAGAGGCCCAGGAGAGAGACCCTGGGCAGTGGAGTCCACGCGGAAGGCCCCAGCTGGCGGCACATTCGCGCGGAAGGCCTGGACTGCAGCTACGCCGTCCTGTTTGGCAGAGCTGAGGCGGATGAGATTCTCAGAGAGCTGGAGAAAGAAGTGGAATATTTTACAGGTAAGCAGAGCACTCTGCGGGTGTGTTTGATAAAACTAATGATCTTCTGTTTGGAGAAAGCTGAACTCAGGAGCCGTTGATTACTGATGGGTTCAGGAATGGATTCAACAAATGTTCTCTGTGCACCTCTGGGCGCACCGTGTTACCGTAGGTGCTTGGGATACAAACTAGAAAAATACAGGCTTGCCTGTCTCCTGGGAGCTGACAGCTGACGAGAGTGAATTTCCACCTGGCTACTGATTGGCGCCACCAGGGAAAGTTAAAAACAAAAATCATGCAGGGTTCTACCAATTGAATCAGAATAGCTAGGAGGTGGGCTTCAGTGTTTTTAAAAAGCTTCCAGGTGATTCTAATGTGCGACCAGGGTTGAGAATCACTGGTCTCGAAGGGGAGATGGCAGATAACCAGGTAATTCCTCTGCACCTGTGGTTCTCGACGTCCTCTGGACAAGCAGGATTGTTGCTTGTCAAAACTGATCGCTGGGCCTCACCCCTGCAGTTTTATATCTAAGGAGTTTCCAGGCGATACAGATGCTGCCATTTGGGAGACCGCACTTTGAAAACTGCTGCTCTCCCCTGTGATGAGTACACAGGGATCCGGTCAAGCACTTCGGAAGATGTAGAAAAACCCACAGGAGACCCCAGCCTGTAGCCTGAGCCGTGTGAGCCCCACCTTCCGTGGAGCCACATAGGCCCTTAGTCCTCACAGTTGGCAAAACCACCCTAGTGTGTAAACTAACTTCATCGTCCTCTTTATCTGCTCCTATTGTAATTAAGGCAGTTAAGTTACAATATTTAATTAAAAAATAGGAGGGGACTGTGTTTCTCTAAGTGTAGGACAAGTGTCACTGTTCTTGAAAATTTGGGGCAGTCGACATTTTTGTGAAATCTGAAGGAAAAAAACTGGGGGCAAACCACAATAACTTTTGAGGAGGGGGCACTCGGCAGGGCGTTAAATTACGTTGAATGACTCAAGGAAATGTTCTTCCTGTTTTACTTCCCTTCCAATCCTGAATACCCAGGCAGCAGCGTGTGTGCTGGGCACTCACCTGCCTGAATCTCTGGGGGGGCTCGAGAGGGATGCAGCTGCCTTGTTTCGTCTGCACAGGTGCGCTGGCCAGGGTCCAGGTGTTCGGGAAGTGGCACGACGTGCCAAGGAAGCAGGCGACCTATGGCGACACTGGGCTGACCTACACGTTTTCAGGCCTTACGCTGTCTCCCAAGCCGTGGATCCCAGTTCTGGAGCGTGTCCGGGATCGTGTCTCTGGGGTGACTGGACAGACTTTCAACTTCGTGCTTGTCAACAGGTGATGCCCTACCTGTTCAGTGGACTAAATTTTATAAAACTTCATGTCTCCTCCAAAAGGAAGGGTTTAGAATCCACCCTATTTTGTTCCTTTGTACAACAAATCATTCTTTGGTGCGCAAGGGGTGTGATCGTGGCATGGCACCAGCAAAGCCAGTCTTCTTGGCGCTCGAGGGGTGACGGACTCCTGAACAGCTGAACAAGATAATTTCAGACAGTGAGAACTGCCCCGAAGAAAATTTAACAGGCTGAGTTGGCTGAGAATGGCTGAGAGGAAGGGGTTTGGGGCGGGGTTTCCCAGTGGCAGCATTACTAACGTTTTGAGCCAGATCTTTCTCTGTTGTGGGGGCTGCCTTGTGAATGGATGCTAACCACATCCCTGTTCTCCATCCCTAGCGTCTGCCCCCTAGGGTGGCTAGAGGAGGGCGTCTGAGGCAGTGACATTTGAGCATGATGATAACAAAAGGGGGGCCATGAGCCACAGACATCTGGAGGAAGAGCAGAGGGGAGCTTGGAGTGTCTGGGGAGCAGAAATCCTGCTGCTATGGCCAGAAAGCAGTCAAGAGGGCCAAAAGGGTATGAGATGAGCTCAGGTGGGCAGGGGCCAGGATGCCCAGGGACTGTGGACTTTATTCTGAGTGTAGGGAGAAATCATTTTATGTGATAATGGTTTACATATGCAAATCAGGGAAAGTCACGATTTTAGCTTTTGGTGTTAAACTAACATGAACAAATAGGACTGTGTAACAGCGAAGGTGCTTCAGGGTCGACTCATGTATAGAAGCAGCTAAGGACCCCAAGCCCTTGCAGATACACAGCAGGGACCGCCGTTTCACACTGTAAGAAAACAAGGAGTCTGCAGCGTGGGTGAGTTATGGAACAGGGTCATTTTTATGAGCTGTGCTCGTTCTCTCGTGGCAGGTACAAGGATGGCTGTGACCACATTGGGGAGCACCGAGATGATGAAAGGGAACTGGCCCCTGGAAGCCCCATTGCCTCTGTCTCCTTTGGTGCCTGCAGAGACTTCATCTTCCGGCACAAGGACTCTCGAGGGAAAAAGCCCTCCCGCAGGGTGGAGGTGGTCAGGCTGCAGCTGGCCCACGGAAGTTTACTCATGATGAACTACCCGACCAACACTCACTGGTATCACAGTCTTCCCGTCCGAAAGAAGATTCTGGCTCCACGGGTCAATTTGACTTTTCGTAAAATTCTGCCTACTAAGAAATAAAAACGTTTTTAATGGTTAGTACTTCCGTTTTCACCTTTCCCTTTCTACAAGGGAGCTGGCATTTCCTTTAGCAACAGGGAACATAGAAAAGGTTTAACCAAAGGGTAGGGCTTGTTACATAACAATGCAGAATTCAGAAAGAGGATGTTTGTATCAAATCAGTAAATCATGTAAGAATACCAGTTGATTGTTTTCCTAACAAAATGATTCTTTTATTGCTATAATACACAGCAGATACAAAAGTACCTTTAGCAAATACTTAAATCAGCACTTATTATGGAGTAAACTACTAGTCTAACTTAGGTTTTCTCAAAAAGAAGCTTACTTTGTAAATAATTTAATACCAGAAATCAGATTATTTGGCTGCTACTTAATGCCTAATAATTTACAAAATGAGGAAGTCAGCTTTAAGAAGTCAGGTTAAGAGCCTTTGCACAGATATTTTTCACATTTACTATCTTGGCTGAAACCCTGGCCTCTGACCAAAGAAAGATCTGCTTACAGCCACGTGTTCAAAGGCTTGTCCCCTTTCATCTATCTCTGGAATAGCAGATTTCAAAGAGTAGGCAGTGGCAGAACAGCAGTTACTCAGAGCTGCAACTTTGCAGTGCACTCTAAGGTCACACAATTGGGCGTTTTCCACCAGACTTGGGTATAACAGGTGTGTGTCTTTCAGCATCAAAGCCAAGGTCTGAGTGGGTCAGCAATGACTGGATTAGACGGTTCTAGCTGCTCCTTTCACACTGATACCCGTGGCCTGGAGAACCTTCACAGTTTATTCTACTGGGAGCGACAGTTACTGAGGCCTCGGGATGCGCCGGGGGCCCTGTGGAGAGGTGATCACCGGGGCTTTTTGCACTTTGAGCCGACACCAAGGCATTGTCAGGAAGTGGCCACCAGCTCACCACCAGCACAGGAAGCACAGTGACCTTTTGGAAAGATCTGATTCCAAATCTTACTGAGTTTGAATTTGGTATCCTTTTTTTTTTTTGTAGAATTAAAAGTCTAGCTAAAACATAAGTAACTACTAAGTCATCAGAATTCCTTGGGCCCTGGGTTACATCCACGAGGGAAGAAAACGCTCAGCATACTCTCTATTAGGCTACTGGGGATGATGAACAGATTTAGAATATGGACCTGTAACACAATGACAGTACTAGATGTCAGCTGTAGCTATGAGTTTTAAAGTCAGAAGCGGCTTGCTTTCTGTGGAAAGCACTGGATTTTGGAGGTCATCGAGTCTAACCTTTCCCTTTACAAATGAGGAAACTGAGGTCTAGAAGATGTCAGTGCCCTTCCTTCCTAAACCAGCTTGCAACTCAAGGCAGGGATTTTTTACAGAGCCCAAAGCTCCTACTCATAAAGTTTAAGAGCTCTGCACAGGCGATAAATAGATGACAACCGTCCACTGTGGATCCTTGTATAATAGTTTTCTACAGAGCGGAGGAATCAGGTGTTGCATGGATACTGCTCAATTCTGGCTATTCACATAGTTTTATAATATTCTATCATTACATCTTTTAGCCCAGTATACAAAAGATAATAGCAACAAGTAAGCATTTACTTACAACTGACAAAAAGTAGTGAAAGAATTCCCCCAGGGGAAAGATTTGGCAGATGAGCCTTTATGACATATTAAGAATCCAAAGATTAGAAAAGGCATACAAAAAAGGGAAAAGAGGTGTTCTTTAGGCATCTTTTAACTGTCCCTTTGCTACCCTTTGAGTAACTTGGAAGGACCATTTCAGAGTGCATGTGCTACCAAAGCAATCAAAAATGAAAGGCACTTTTTCCTTCTAAATTGTTGCCTTTAATAGTTTCACTAATTCTTTTCGACAGTTTTTATGGGCCTGCTTATTAAAAATAAAAGATCTATGCTGAGACATCAGAGAATTAGACAAAGGTAACTCCCCTCTGAGAACACCTGACATATCACAATGTGGAAAAGGTGGCTTCCGGAATCTGCTTTCTTGTAATTACCTGCATCAGATGAATAAAAAAACGCTCTAGACATAATGAATGCTTTCCCACCACGACGCTCCTCCCAGCGCACGCCAGCGGAGCTGTTCGGGGAGCCTGATTTGGTACAAGTTGGGGCCACCGGCTCCCGGGTGGAGCCTGCTCTTAGAACACACTGGAAAGCTGAAGGGCTCTACTGGGGCTGCCTGCGAGCACACAGCACAGTTCTGCTTTTGTCCTGGGCAGTTGTGACAGTGCCGTCAGCTCTAGCTTCGGGGCTGAGGCACAGTCATTCTTCAGACTTGTACTCCTGACTCTGGCGCTGCACCCTGGGGAGGACGCGCTCGTAGAACAGCAGGTACGCGCTGGAGGACAGGACCTCCTGCAGGCTGGCCTTGCGGACGGCGTCATCGGAGACCCACAGCCACTGGTTGCTGGCTGAGAGGGGGTTCTTGGCTGAAGGCGGGGACCGTCGGTAAGTGACAAAGTGTCCAGAGTGCATGTCTCCGTGGTGGACGACAACTGCCATCAGCCGGAAGAGGTATGTGGATGAGCTGAATGACAGAACAAATGCCAGTGGTTTACGGATACGATAATGAAGGCTTCACAGGCAGAAGCAGAATCCTAGACGTTAACAAGGGATGGAGACAATGGTACATCCACCCAATACCATCAACATCATGACACAATTCCATATTTACTGGCATGGCAAGGTGTCCGTTCTATAAGTATATGTGTATTGTATTTATATGGATGTTTGTATCATATGAGTACACAGGTATATTGTGTGTATGTGTGTACACACACTTGATATCGTGGATGACTCTAAAAATTTAATTGGTTTTCTCTAGGTGGTATCCCAAGAAATTTAAAATTTTTCTATCTTTTATACATACATACTTACACATATGTATATGTAAATTATGTGTGTTTTTTATTTTTAAAGTGAGTTCCATGTTGGACAAAAATAAATGAGAATGTACAATAGTGAAATTCTACCTTAAAATTAAAGAAAAAAATGAATCTCTAAATTTTCATTCATTCATTTCTGTAAAAAGCTAATTTTAGAAACGAAGAGAAGTTGCAGCCAAATAAAGAACATGCTTCACCTGTAGTCAGGAACGACTGGGAGTGGGAACGGCACTGGAGCTGGCAGGGATGGCAGTAATGACGGGGAGCAGGCGCCATTCATAAAAATTTGTGTTTTGGGGGCCCCTGGCTGATTCAGAACTGCAGGAGAAAAAGGTCAGAGTTAGTGAAAACTAGTGGTGGCTCTGGGTAAACGAAACATGGTTTTGATCACCTTGGAAAGTAACTTGAAGGCTACAAAGCAAAAAAAATAACTTCATTTTGTATTATATTGATTCATAATATTTCCTACCTTTCTGTTCCTGACTGCCCTAATCTCAAATAGGAAAAGCATATCTAGCTCCAGGTCTACTGCTAGCCTTGACGACTTTGTGAATCTTTGAGGTTCTTGTCCCTCTTTGCTAACAAAATGTATCAAAGTTAAGCACTAATTTACTGGCTTTTGACCTAAACCAAGGTTTCTTAACCTTGGCATTATTAATATTTTGGGCTGGATCATCTTCTTTGTTGTAGGGGGATGTGCTATACATTATAGGGTGTTTGGCAGCATCCCTGGCCTCTCCCCACGAGATGCCAGCAGCATCCCTCCCCACAGTTTGGACAACCAAAAGTGTCAACAGACATTGTCCAATGTGCCCTGGGAGGCAAAACTGCTGTGTTGAGAACCACTGATCTAAACATTCTCTGCTTTCATTCTGTCAGCTTCTGAGAATACCAACACGTAACAGAATTAATAAATGTTTATGGGTGTAGAGAAAATAATTGAGGTGATATTTACATGTCTTTTCCTTTCAAATGTCATATTTGGGGACCTTTATGTAGCAAGTAGTTCACTGTTGGCATCTTTAAGCACAGCCGCCATGCTCTGAACTACCGTGGACCTGTACCCCAGTCTAGGAGAGGAGGAAGCTAGGGTGAAGAGGTCTTTGTTGTTTTGGGGGGGTTGTTTTGTTTTTTTAATGAGATGGGGTCTCACTATGTTGTCTAGGCTGGTCTTGCACTCCTGGGCTCAAGCGATCCTCCTGTCTCAGGGGCAGGATTAAGTGGGACTACAGGCATGCACCACCATGCTCAGCTAATTTTTTAAATATATATTTTTAGTTGTCCAGCTAATTTCTTTCTATTTTTAATTTTTTTAGTAGAGATGGGGTCTCGCTCTTGCTGAGGCTGGTCTCGAACTCCCGAGCTCAAACGATCTGCCTGCCTCGGCCTCCCAGAGTGCGAGGATTACAAGTGTGAGCCACTGCGCCTGGCCTTAAGATACCTTTAAAAACCTGCCCCAACACTCCATCTCCTGTCTGCCTTTGACCAATCATTTAACTGTGTGGAGCCTCAACTTCCTCATAAGACTGGGGATAAGGACAGCTGCCTGCCTTAACTGGGACCCAATTCAATGATTAACCTCAGATGAGGACAGTAATGGAATTAGATAAATAGTTCAGTAAAGAAGTCATAGCAACCTAAATAAGATGTTCAATCATCTTCCACCAGGACATGTCCTTCCCTCATTTCCTGTATAAATGAGATGACTGTATCGGGAGAAAAAAAAAAAAAAAAGACAAAAAATTCACTGGAATGATAATAAGCCAATTATCACTTAGTCAAAAGATCAGAGAGCAAGACTGCAATCATAGGCTTTTCTCCCTATACTTTTTTCATTTGTAATAAAGTTTTAAAAACTCTACATCTCATTACTATGTAATTTTAATCTGCCTTTAAGAAATCTTCCCTCTTCCACCCCCAATCCTGCTGTTCTCAAGAATCTAAGCAACCACTGTACAAGCCTTGCACTCATGTCATAAGGGACCCAGAAGGTGGTTGGTGCCAAATTGCTTTTCTCTGTGCAGAACATGCCTGGTGTGTCGGCACACACCTGGTTTGGGGGCTGCTGGCCCATCCTGCAGTTCCAACGCGGGCCCTGGGTTCTCGTGCAGTTTAGGGTTGTGCTGACTGGGTTTGTGTCCTAGGAGGTGGTACTTGTAGATGTCCATCATCAGGAATTCATTGAACTGCACGTGCTCGTGCCGTTTCAGGGGCGTGCCGTGGCTGGACCAGCTCAGCCGCTGCAGGTGGATGCAGAGACACTGAGGGAGCTGCGGGTGGAAGAGAAACCGGAAAGAAGGAGTCATTTCAGGAGCAGGACACGTGCAGTCCTCGAAAGCAAAGCCAACAAGGTGTGTGGCGTGGGCTTACCTTCCCTAGTTTTAACTGTTTAACAAAAGTGGTCCTCTGGTGTTCCACCTTCTCCCCGCTCAAGGTTCCCTTTGCTTCAATCTGAAATAAGAGAAACATTTCTCTGCAGAAATTCCTGACACGGGTCATCTGTGGAGAGCTGCAGATCAGGTTGATGTTAGAGCTGCATCCAGTTGGCACTTAATTGCTACCTGCTGGAATGAACTCAGCTGCTGGATTATTTGTGGGTTCTTTACCCTGATCCCTCTCGGTCATTAAATAACAGTAACAGCATAGGGAAGAGAAAACGAAGAATCAACACTGAAACTCTGACACTAGCATGTAATCCATTTTGTCCTCTGTCTTCAAGAATTCTGTTACACACAGTTTCTGTTGATTCAGAGGGTGAGATGCAATTACTTAGGGGTTCAGGCAGGTAGCATAGGTAAAAAGAGATGAGACAAATGAGATTGGAAGGGACTACAGCCAATTGGAGAGGGGAGGTCCCATCTCAAAGCATGACATTCAAATTTTTTCTTTAAACACTCTGTAGAGGAAACAAAACTCAACTGGGAAAGAGAGGTGGTCCATGGGCTGCCAATTTCTAAATGAAGTTAGGTGGAATGGTGGTGGCTGAAAAGATCCACTGGCTACAGTCAGAAGAGCTCAGGGCCAGCCGTGTGAGAGGCGCTTTCCAGGCACACAGAGGCCAGCTGGGAGATGACATTTGGGGTTCAAGGCATACCTTTGTACAGTTGTCACATACGACATCCCGCACTGATTCTGATGAGATGAAGTGGTGAAGGCAGTGGTCCAGGGTCAGTGGGTGACCCTGCAGCATGAGAAGAAGAAAACCATTACAATTCAAAGAAGAGCGACACGGAAACTGTTGACAGATGGCAGTGTGAGTCCTAGGGCTTTGTTCTGGCATAGGTAGGCAATGAAGTTGCACAGACACAACTGGATGCTTCCTGAACAAATGTGGGGCTCAAAGCACCCCAGACTGCTATTACTGACATCCAACAGTATGGGGACATAACATCACAGAAAATGATGAACTTGCACGCTGTTTTAGATATCTTAGAATTTCAGGGGCATGTGTGAGTGTGTGTGTTCAAAAAGCCAAAATTTCTGCAGCAAGAGAAAAACCATCCACCTTCCCCTCCCCCATAATCAGGCCGTGTTAGCACACATTAAGGTTAAGACAGGGTTCGACCAACCACGTGTGTCAATAACACATAGGACCTGAGCCACATAAAATGCCTCAAAGCCCTTTCAGGTTGAAATATCTCCAAAACAGACCAAAAATAAACCACAGATCAGTACATACCCATGTGGCAGCTGGAATACTTAGTGAAAGGCTATCAAAAGTATCAAATCGAACAGGACTCTAAAAAAAAAAAAAAAAATTACAGAAAATCCAGAAAGGACTAGGTTAGATTCAAAACTTTAAAGATGGGAATATATATGACTATGAGATAGTTTCCTATTTAGATGTCCAACGTTAACATAATAAAACGTAATGTTCTTGGAGGCAAATTCTATTAAAAACAACCTTGTAAACACAAGAGGTGCAATAATACTAAAAGACAGCTTGGAAAAACTGTAAGATTATATAGCTGACCCCAGCAATTTGGGGATTTTATCCTAAGGAAAAAACCATGTTGAATAATCATCAACATTATTTATAATAGCAGAAACCAAATACAGTCACATGTATCTTAACAATGGGAATACGTTCTGAGAAATGCATCTTAGTTGATACCGTCGTCATGCGAACGTCACAGAGGTCACACAAACCCCGATGGTATTGTCTACTGCTCCTAGGCTACAAACACGCACAGCACATCACTGTACTGCCTGCTGCAGGCAGCTGTAACACAATGGTTAGTGTTTGTGTATGTAAACATATCTAAACCTAGAAAGGTGCAGTACAACCATGAGACTATAATCTTATGGGACCACCACCGTGTATGCAGTCCATTGTTGTTATGTGGCTCACGCCTGTAATCCTAGCACTCTGAGAGGCTGAGGAGGGAGGATCACTCTAGGTCAGGAGTTCAAAACCTGCCTGAGCAAGAGCAAGACCCTGTCTCTACTAAAAATACAAAGAAATTAATTAGACAACTAAATATATATAGAAAAAATTAGCCGGGCATGGTGGCACATGCCTGTAGTCCCAGCTGCTCGGGAGGCTGAGGCAGGAGGATCAGTTGAGCCTGGGAATGTGAGGTTGCTGTGAGCTAGGCTGATGCCACGGCACTCTAGCCCAGGCAACAGAGTGAGACTCTGTCTCAAAAAAAAAAAAAAAAAGAAAAAGAAAAGAAAACCATATCTATGCACAACATGGACAAAAATAAAGAGCAAATATTGTAAGCAGAAAAAAAGGGACACTTTACATGTAGAAAAATGATATGAAAGACATTAACTTTGAAAAATGAAAGCCAGAAGATAATAGAACAATGTCTTTAAAGTGACAAATTTAAAATAAAGCAAAATAACAGTAACACTGTCAACCCAAAATTCTATATCTAGCAGAACTATGCTTCAAAAATGAAGGCAAAACAAAAAAATTTCCATAGAAATAAAATGTAAATGTATCTGCCACCAGTAGACCTACAAGAAATGTTCAAGGGATTATTTAGGCTGTAGAGGAAAAATATCAAATAGACTTGGATGTATAGGAAAGAGTGAAGAACACCAAAAATGGTAATGTATTTTTTTCTCTTCGTTTTTTTAAAACACATGCAAATATTTAAAGCAAAAACTATATCACAGTATTGTAGGGTTTATAATGTATGTAGATGTACTATCTATGACAAAAATAGCACAAAGGACAGGATAAGAGAACTGTATTTTTGTAACATTCCAGCATTTTAAATGAAGGATTATAATATTAACTCTAAATAGACCGCAGTAAGGTAAAATTGTATTATTTAATCACACACATACAGACACACAAAAGTTTAAAAGTATAGCTAAAAGGCTAACAAAGGTAAAAACTTTGTTACTAAATACTAAAAATTATTGGATTAATCCAAAAGAGGCCAGGAAAGGAGGAACAGAGGAATAAAAAAGCACGTAAGGCAAATAGAAAACAAACGGTAAAATGGTATATCTAAATCTAATCATACAAATAATTACATTAAATGTAAATGGACTAAACATTCCATTAAAAGGCAGACTTTCAAGCTGGATAAAAAAGCAAGACCTAATTATATGCTATCTATAAAAGCCACATTTAAAATACAAAGATGGGGGGCATGGGCAATATATGTAACCTTAACACTTGTACTCTCATAATACGCTAAAATAACAAATAAATAAATAAATAAAATACAAAGATCGCTTGACCCCAGGAGTTTGAGGTTGCTGTGAGCTAGGCTGACGCCACGGCACTCACACTAGCCCAGACTCATTATAGTAGTGTGAGCAACCTCTCTAAATTAAATTAAATGAGGCCGGGCGCGGTGGCTCACGCCTGTAATCCTAGCACTCTGGGAGGTGAAGGCGGGCGGATTGCTCAAGATCAGGGGTTCGAAACCAGCCTGAGCAAGAGCGAGACCCCCGTCTCTACTATAATTAGAAAGAAATTAATTGGCCAACTAAAAATATATATAGAAAAAATTAGCCAGGCATGGTGGTGCATGCCTGTACTCCCAGCTACTTGGGAGGCTAAGACAGAAGGATCACTTGAGCCCAGGAGATTGAGGTTGCTGTGAGCTAGGCTGAAGCCACAGCACTCTAGCCCGGGCAACTAAGTGAGACTCTGTCTCCCCTCCAAAAATAAATAAATAAAATAAAATACAAAAATAGGTGAACAGATAGAGATATACCAAAGAAACACTAGTTAGATGAAAATGAATCATTCAAATAGACTTCAAGGAGTCTCATTAGAGAGGAAGAGGGACATTTTATCATGACAATAAGAGTCAATTCATCATAATATATGTGCTTGTAACCAATAACAGAGTTTTAAAAACTCCAGCAAAAATAGAACTAAAGAAAGAAACAAATTATAGCAACCATTTAAGAAAGAAATAATACCAATATTAAACAAAATCTTTCAGGAAACAGAGGAGGGAACACTTCCCAGCTTATTTTATGAGGCTAACATAATAACAAAACCTGACAAAACCATGACAGGGGAAAAGAACTTCAAGACTAATATTCTTCATAAATACAGACACTAATATCCTTTAGGAAATATTAGCAAATCAAATCCAGTAATATATAAAGAGAATAAAACATCACAATCAAGTGGGGTTTATCCCAGAAAAGCAAGGCTAGTTTAACTTTAGAAAAATCAATCACTGTAATTTACCATGTTAACAGAATAAAAGAATAAAATATGATCATCCTGACAGATGCAGAAAAAACATGACAAAGTTCAATCACTATTAATTATAAAATCTCTCATCAAACTAGGAACAGATGGGAACTTCCTCAGTATGATAAAGGGGTATACTAAAACCTAGAGCTAATATAATAATTATGAAACACCAACTACTTGTTTCAGAAGATCTGAACATGGCAAGGATGTCTGCTATCACCACTTGTTTTTTTTTTTTTTTGAGACAGAGTCTCACATTTTGCCCAGGCTAGAGTGAGTGCCATGACATCAGCCTAGCTCACAGTAATCTCAATCTCCTGGGCTCAAGTGATCCTTCTGCCTCAGCCTCCCGAGTAGCTGGGACTACAGGCATGTGACACCATGCCTGGCTAATTTTTTGTATATATATTTTTAGTTGGTCGATTAATTTCTTTCTATTTTTTTTAGTAGAGACTGGGGGGGGGGGTCTCGCTCAGGCTGGTTTTGAACTCCTGACCTTGTACAATCCGCCCGCCTGGGCCTCTCAGAGTGCTAGGATTACAGGCGTGAGCCACCACACCTGGCCTGCTATCACCACTCTTATTTGACTTTGTACCAGAGCTCTTAGGATATAATAAGGTAAAGAAAAAATAAGCATAAAGATTGGAAAGAAAGAACTAAAAAGTATTTCCATTCACAAGCAACATAACTTTTTACATAAACAATCATAAGGAATCTACAACAAAACTAGAATAAATAAATTTTTATAAGATTTCAAGATACAAAGTCGATATACAAATAACTATATTTTATATACAATATAAATGGCAATAAATATATGGCAAATAATTGGAAAATAAAAAAATTAATTCCATTTACAATAGCATCAGAACATAAATAAAATGCAATGAAAAAATAAAAGAGATGAATAGTAGTCAACTTATAGATTAAAAAATATATGAGACATATCAAGGAATTATACTGTATGAAGTTTATTTTAAAAAAACAGTCAACACATTAGTCATCAAGATAAATATCAATCAAAATCACAATGACACAGCAAAGGAAATAACAAAATGAAAAGGTAACCTATGGAACATGAAAAAATATTTGCAAACTATATAGCAGATAAAGGGTTAATACCCAAAATGTATAAGGAACTCATACAAGTCAACAGCAAAAAACCAAGTAACGCAATTAAAAAATGTGCAAAGGACCTCAACAGACATTTATCCAAAAAAGGCATGCAAATGGGCAACAAGTATATGAAAAGGTGCTCAACATCACTACTCATCAGGGCAATGCAAATCAAAACTACAATGAGCTATTACCTCACATCTGTTAGGATGACTATTATCAAAAAGACGAGGTAACAAGTGTTGGCAAGGGTGTGGAGAAAAGGCAACTCTTCTAAACCGTTGATGGGACCTAAACTGGTACAGCCATTATGGAAAACAGTACAGAGCTTCCTCCAAAAGCTAAAAACAGAACTAGCAAAGGATCCAGCAAATCTACTTCTGGGTCTATATCCAAAGGAAATGAAATCAGGACCTCAAAGAGGCATCCACACCACAGTGTTCATTGCAGTATTATTCACGATTGCCAAGCTATGGAAGCTAAATGTCCACAGAGAGATGAATGGATAAAGAAATGTAGTATATACATACAATGAAATATTATTTATTTCTAAAAAAAAAAAAAAGAAATCCTGCCATTTGTGACAACATGGACGAACCTAGAGGACATCAAATGCTAATGAAATAAGCCAGGCAGAGAAAAACAATACTATATGATCTCATTCTAGAAAAGTCAAACTCACAAAAGCAGAGAGTAGAATGGTATTGGCTGAGGGGTGCAGGGTGGGGAATGGGGAGATGTTGGTCAAAGATACAAGAAATAAGATGAGTAAGTTCTGGGGATCTAATCCACAGCATGGTGACTACAATTCATAATTGTATTCAAGTTTGTACTCCTTAAATATATTCAATTTTTGTCAATTATACCTCAATAAAGCTAAGGGGAAAAAACCACAGTGAGCTAGCACTTCATACCTACCAGGATGGCTAGAATCAAAAAGTCAGATATTGTAAGTGTTGGGGAGGCTGTGGAGAAATTGGAACCCCTCATGCTGGTGGGAATGTAAAATGGTACAGCCACTTTGGTAAATAGTCTGGCAGTTCCTCAAAAGGTTAAGCATAGAGTTACCATAAGAGCTAGCAATTCCACTCCTAGGTATACACTCAACTGAAACAAAAACATATGTACACATAAAAACTTGTACATAAATACTCACAGCAACATTATTCTTTTTTTTTTTTTTTGAGACAGAGTCTCACTTTTGTTGCCCTGGCTAGAGTGAGTCCCATGGCGTCAGTCTAGCTCACAGCAACCTCAATCTCCTGGGCTCAAGCGATCCTTCTGCCTTAGCCTCCCAAGTAGCTGGGACTACAGGCATGCAGCACCATGCCCGGCTAATTTTTTTTTTTTGTATATATATTTTTAGTTGGTCAATTAATTTCTTTCTATTTTTAGTAGAGACGAGGTCTCGCTCAGGCTGGTTTCGAACTCCCGACCTCGAGCAATCTGCCCTCCTCGGCCTCCCAGAGTGCTAGGATTACAGGTGTGAGCCACCGCGCCCGGCCAGCAACATTATTCTTAATAGCCAAGAAGTAGAAACAATCCAAATGCCCATCACGGATGAGTGGATAAACAAAATGTCTTATATTCATACAATGCTGTATTCTTTGGTAATACACAGGAATGAAGTACTGACATATGCTACAATGTGGAAGAACCTTGAAAATATTATGCTGAGTGAAAGAAGCCAGATACAAAAGGCCACATATGGTATGATCCCATTTCTATGAAATGTCCAGAACAGGCAAAGCCATAGTGACAAAGAACAGTTTAGTGGTTGCCAGGTGATGGGGGGATGGCGAGGACAGGGAGAGACGGCTAACAGGTGTGGGTTTGGGGGCAGGGGGAGGTAATGAAAATGTTCTAAAATTGATTGAGGTGACTGTTGCACAATTCTCTACTTTTGCATAATGTTGGAAATTTTCCATAATAAAAAATTATTTTAAAACTGCAAAAGAAAACAACAACAACAACAAAAAAACCCAGCCCTAGAATCTATTGTGTCTACTGTGAGCATAGACCCAACCTTAGCACTTGAAATCCTGCTAGTCCACAATAGGTCTGCTGATCTTGGTGCAGAAGATGACATCTGAGGATCAAATGACCTGTTGGCACCGACCAAAGCGGGGTGGTCAGTCCACTAGGTGTGCAGAGCCCAGGCAATCACAGATGCCATTGACCGAGGTCAGCCCACGCTCCCTGGGTCCTCTCATGAACCCTGCCTTAAAGGAAAACCTCGCCGGGAAACATCAAGTACTGGTATCGTATTTACCTGGTGTTCACAGTGTTTGCAGACCATGTTACTAGTGAGTCTTCCATGAAAAGGGTGTTGAGACTTCCAGTGGTTGGACGTGGGGTGAGGTGACCCTGGAACACAAAACATCTTTTGATATGTCACTTGTAGCCCTTTGGCACCAACCTCAAAATTCACCCTCCTTTTTAGTATATACTCCCTTTAGTAGAAACTCCCTTTTGGGAAAAAAATGTTCTTTTTTTTTTTTTTTTTTTTTTGAGACAGAGTCTCACTTTGTTGCCCAGGCTAGAGTGCCGTGGCGTCAGCCTAGCTCACAGCAACCTCAAACTTCTGGGCTCAAGCGATCCTTCTTTTTTTTTTTTTTATTTTTTTTACAAAATACCCTCAGATTCTATCAAGCGATCCTTCTGCCTCAGCCTCCCGAGTAGCTGGGACTACAGGCATGCGCCACCATGCTCGGCTATTTTTCTATATATTTTAGTTGGCCAATTAATTCTCTTTCTATATTTAGTAGAGAGGGGGTCTCGCTCTTGTTCAGGCTGGTTTCGAACTCCTGACCTTGAGCAATCCGCTTGCCTCGGCCTCCCAGAGTGCTAGGATGACAGGCGTGAGCCACCGCGCCCGGCCGAAAAAATGTTCTTGAAAACAACACTGAAATAGTTTCCCTCGTGGGCCTCCATCCAAAAGACATCCCATTTCTTCACAGGAGAATTTATATAGATCTCTACATGGGGTTTCTGTGTAATGGGTACAGCCACATTTTCAAAAGGAATTTGTGATTAGTAACATCTTTATACAAATACATGCTTGAAATGTTTGAGATATCAAAAGAAAGATGGCACAAGTGAACATTCCATAAAGCGAGATAAACTTCTGAAATAATAATAAGCAAGTTCTTAAGAACTGGGATTTTTCTTTGGCTAGGGGTGGGGTTAGTGGAATAACCGCCAGGGAGAAATACAGGCTCTGGAGTCGGCAGCCCTGGGCTTGGCCTGGGCTCTGCTGCTTGTTAGCTCTGCAATCTGGGAAGTCATTTCATCTCCGTAAGCCTCAGTTTGCTGGCAATGTGGATAATTACTATCCCATTATCCCTAGAGTTATGAGGCTTACATGAGATATTGCAATGGCTGGTACACTGTATGGGCTCAAAATTATTTGTTCCTATTACTACTAATGCACAAAGGAAGTGATGTGTTAATTTTTTTTTTTTTTAATTTAAGAAAACAATGATTTCCTCTTAAGGAGGACTGTGATAATTTGGAGTAAAAGTTGGCCAAAGTGGAAACACTGAGGACACAACAGATTCAGCTTATTAAGTTCTTCCCAGGATCGATTCAAGAAGGTAAAAAGAAAGCCCTGTTTGAAGCACAAATAAGACCATTTAGAAGAAACTGAGCAGGGTTGGGATGAGAGGGAACACCAAGAAAATCATCTGAAGCTGTTTCCAAAACACAAGTTCCTTTGCAAGTATATCATAGTTCAAGCTGCCTTAGATAGCACCAGAAAAAAAAAATCTTTTTAAAACAAGCACATCATCATCATATCTAAAAAGCACACATCTTAAGTGTTACATTTCAATAGAAAACAACTACCTCTTGTGCGGCAGGTTATTTGTTTGGGAGTTATTTCTGACTGCTGCTGTAGGGGAAAAAAAGAAACAGACTGAAAAAGCCTATTATAGCCCCTTTTATCACCCTCACCCCGCCCCTAAATCTTACAAGTCTCTCTGCTGAGTGCACCACTAAAAACCAACATTTAACAAAGCCCATGTTTCTAAAAGTAGCCTTAATTATCCTCTCTGGTTGTTTACTGTGCATATTCCTTCATGGAATGCAATGGAAACATATTTCTTCTCTCTCTAGACTATTTCCCTCTTTATTGGTTAACTTTTATCAACTTCCCAAATATTTATACTGTTATAGGGAAATGAGGACTCATTTAGCATTTCTATGTTCCCTCATTCCCCTCTATTAAGTAGGAAAAAATAATATATTCCTTCTTCTCAAAGCCAACACAAATTGCTGCAATGATTCATTTTAAAGAGCCCTGACATCCCTAACCGAAGTCACCAACTACAGAGTATGTAATCGTTTAAGACCTGCCCCTGGCTTCATTCCCACTTCTGATGTTTATTGAATCTTACTTTTGAGTTTAAGGTTGTAACAAAGATTATACTCGCAGTTCCTACACTTATTAAATATGCACAAGTTGCAGTGGATATATTGAAAATGTTAAATTGTTTACCTCCAGGGAATGCACATCAAACAAATGTGTGACCCGTGGCTGGCGGTCTCGCTCATCTTCCAGTGACGAGGTAATGACATGGAATAATTCGTGAGCGTCCTGTCAAAGGGCAAAGCATTCTTCAGAGAGGCCCGCTGAAGCAAGGGCAGTGTCAGACCCAGTCCCTGTGCAGCCCACCAGCTGATGTGGGCAGAGTGTGCTGTCTACATTCTCAGGGCCAGCTCATGAAATGGAAACAGTTCTGTGCTAGAGTCTAGACACTGTCACAGATAAAGACCCTCCACTGAGAGGCCAAGGGAAGAGAGGAGGACAGAAAGCGGGGTGGCTGCCTTTCTGCCAGTGGTCCCTGAGCCAGCTTGAGCCATATTGAGACCATGACCTCCGCTCCACCTCACGCTAAAAGATGACTTTTTTTTTTAATTGTGGTAAAATGCACATAATATAAACTTTACCATCTTAACCATTTTTACACGTCTAGTTCTACGGCATCAAGTACATTCACGCTTTGTGCAACCATCACCACCATCCACCTTCAGAACTATTTTCATCTTCCCCAGATGAAACCCCATCCCCACTCACCCCCCACTCCCCACTCCTGCCAGCAGCCACCCTTCTACTTTCTATCTCTGTGAATTTGACTACTCTAGGCGCCCCAGATGAATGGAATCACACAGTATTTGTCCTTTTGTGACTGGCTTATTTCAATGAGAATGATGTCCTAAAGTTTTATCCATGTTGTAGCATATTGCAGGATTTCCTCCTGTTTTCTGGCTGAATGATATGTCACTGTATAAAACTTTTGTTTACCTATTCATTCATCGATGGACACTTGGACTGCTTCTACCTTTTGGCTACTACAAATAATACTGCTATGTACATGAGTGACAAATATCTGTGGGAGCCTCTGCTTTCCAGTATTTTGGGCCGTACCAGAAGCAGGACTGCTGGATCCAGTGGCAGAGGACTACACTTTAAGGATCAGCTCCAACAGCTCTTTCCTGAAAGCCAAAGCCACCCCTCCCTCCTCCTGGAGGGACAGGGTCTCTGGTCTCTCTTGCCCTGGGCCCTCCACTTGCACTCTTGGGCTCCCCTCCACACAGTCACCAGAGTGGCCTTTTAGAGGCAGATGACTTTGCTCTTCTGCTTTCAGCCTTCCAAAGACTTTCACTGCCAGAGTAAACCCACCTTTTTTTTTTTTTTTTGAGACAGAGTCTCGCTTTGTTGCCCAGGCTAGAGTGAGTGCCGTGGCGTCAGCCTAGCTCACAGCAACCTCAAACTCCTGGGCTCAAGCAATCCTGCTGCCTCAGCCTACCGAGTAGCTGGGACTACGGGCATGCGCCACCATGCCCGGCTAATTTTTTTTTTATTTATATATTAGTTGGCCAATTAATTTCTTTCTATTTATAGTAGAGACGGGGTCTCGCTCTTGCTCAGGCTGGTTTTGAACTCCTGACCTCGAGCAATCCACCCACCTCGGCCTCCCAGAGTGCTAGGATTACAGGCGTGAGCCACTGCGCCTAGCCAAAACCCACCTTCTTACCTGACCTACAAAGCCCCTGTCCCAGGGCCCAAGGTTCCCCCTAGAACCTTCTCCCTCATTCGCACAGCCCTGGCCCCTGGCCTCTTTTGCATTACTTGAACACATCAAGTTTGTTCCCATTGCAGGCTGTGCTCAGACCTTCACGCGGCTGCCTCCTCGTCCTTCCTCAGGCCTGTGCTGACTGCGCGCTCTCCTCACAGGGAGGTACTCCATGATCAGCTATCCAAACCCCTCGAGCCCAGCCTGCCCCCAGCCAATTCCGCGCAGGCAGCAGTCCTGCAGGCTCTACCCCAACAAATCCCTGAGGCCTCTCCAGCTCCCCTGCCTCAGCCCATCACAGCTGTGCCATCTCAGGCCCCGACAACTGCAGCCGCCTCCCACCTTCCTTCTCAGCTTCCGTTCTTGCCCATACAGCCTTTCTTTTCAAACAAAAGTCAGATCAAACGGTCAGGCATCGGTTTAAAGCCCTCCAGCAGCTCCTGCAGCACACACAATAAAAGCCTGACTCCCGCGGCCTGGACCTCCTAGGCCTTGCACAATCTGCTCCCAGCCAAGCTCCACTATTGCCCTCCCAGCCCTGGCCTCCCTGCCATTGTCCACACACCACAGCCATACAACGGGCCCCAGGCTCCTGCCCTGCCCTGCCCCTGCTCCTGCCCTGTTCCTCCATCTGGAACACTCTGCACCTGGGTGCTCACTGCTTTCTATACTTCACCTCTCAGCTGAAACCTCGCCTCCTCCTGCCACTTTCCCCTCCTCCACAGCCTCCCCCAGCCTTCCGTGTTACATCATCCTGTTTATTTTCTTGTTAGCACATCTTGAAATGACCTGTTTACTGTCACCCCCATGCCAGTCCCCACCAGAATTCCAGCCCCACAAGAGCAGAAAACCCTTCACTTCCTGGTTCTGCTACAGCCCCACCACCCTCACCAGGCCCTTCCCCAGGCAGGCCTTCGGTAAATACTTGTTGCACATGTAAATCAACCCCCTCTAGGGCTGTAAACTGCAGTTAGCAAGAGAGTTGGCTGGAGATTTGAAGATAGGAGGGCTCATGAAGCAGGGGTAGGTGTGGCAGCCCAGCTGTTAGGCAAGAGTAGGAGCAGAGAGCCACAGCCCAGTGGCAGCCATGAGTCTCAGGCACCTGGAGGACAAACAACTCCTCCCTGGAGGCTCAGGAAGCCTTCACAGCCAAGGCATCTGGGCCCACCCTGATCCCAAGACAGGACAGAGTCTATCTGGGCAAATCGCTTCACTTCCCTGAGCTTCAGTGTTTCTATCTGTAAAACAGGGATAATAACAGCAACTCCTTATAGGGTTATTGTGAGGGTTAGATAATTCATGTAAAGCAAGCGCTTAGCCCAATGAATCCTCCACAGCTCTAGCTTCAGTCACAAAAAATGGGTTACTACTAGTGCAAGTCTGTTACTGACTGACTAGATCACTAATAATGAAGACGTGGGCGAGGCCCCATGCTGGACACTCCGGATGCCTTCAAAGGGGAACAGACTGAGGGACATACATGCCCATCTCTTTTTCCTGCATACTGTAGCACAAGGTGGCGCAGTGACTGCTGTGGGCTGAAGACATTAGAAATACTTCCAAGGACTGACTTGGCCGTAGGTGGATTGTTGATGGAGGGACAGGACTTGGAATAATTATCTAATGCCCTTGGAGACTCAATCTCAAAGTCATTCTCTCAGTTTGGAGAAATGTAAAATGTAGCTAAATAATTCCAGTTACCAGAGGAGGATTTAAAATATATTTTCTAAATAGAAAAACATTTCAACATACAACTGGATTAACCAAGGTGCATTTTAAGAAAGTATAAACTGGGCGTGGTGGCACAGGCCTGCAGTCCCAGCTACTTTGGAGGCTAAAGTGGGAGGATCGCTTGAGCCCAGGAGTTGGAGGATGCAGTGGGCTATGAATGTGCCACGGTACTCCAGCCTGGGTGACAGAGGGAGATGCCCATCTCTTTAAAAAAAAAAAAAGAAAGAAAGAAAGAAAAAGAAAGTATATATATCACCAACATCATGTTTAAAAAATAATACATGGCTTCAGATTAAAGCAGAAACAAGAAAATCTTTAAAAATAACATGAGCTAGAAAGCCTTTCTACCTTCTCTTTCAAAGTTTTTTTTTTTTTTTGGTATATGTATACAATGGAATCTTTCAAAGTTTTTAAATGCCTCTCACTTCGGCCTCAGACTTTGGGGAGGTCCAAAAAGGCTACCTCCCATTTCTCTGGACAGTGGCCACAGAAGATGCCCACACAAAGCTGGACAAGCCACCTTGGCACTGTGGCTGGGAGGACGTACCAGCACACCACTGGAAGCTACATTTTGTTCATCCCTAGACCTTCACTCTCTTGGCCTCTGCCTCAGACTTGCTATTGGCCAGTGGTCCAGAGAGAAGGAGGATGGCCAAGTTCCAAAGCGGGCAGCAAAGCTACAGTTGTGGAAAAGGGAGGTGGATGTGGCTGAATAAGGCCTTGGGGTTGCATATGACAACTGCTTGAGGTTTGGGGCCACTTTAAGCCAAACTTTGAAAACTGATTTTTTTTTTTTTTTTTCAAATGAGGGTATGGTCCAAAAAAGGGTCTCCCTTGAACCTCTGAGCCTCTAGGGTGAAGCTACTTGCCTCGTTCTAAAGAACCCAGGTGTCCCTGTCATCCACTTGAGTACAAAGTTACTCATGAACCAAAAAGATTTTTGCTCTTTGGTGACTGTGTGTTTATGCTCTATCCTGCTAACCTTCTACCCACTGGGTGGAAAAGAGCTATGTTTCCCTTCTGAACATGAGAGCAGGAACAAGGTGGGTGTTCTGGCCCCAGAATACTAAGGTTGTCTAAAATGTCACAGAAATGTACACTCAGACCAGGCAAGGTCAGGCCCCAAGTCACCAGGGAAGGGATTCTTCAAGCTAAACCTGTCTGAATGTCATGCTCACCTGTTCTTCAAACGAAGAGATCTGCCACCTGTACATTCGTAAGACGTCCAGCAAGCAGCTTGCATCCAAGACCTCATCATCAGTAACTTCTTGACAGGACAAAGCTGGAATCAAAAAAGGTAAGACAATTATGAAATTCACCAGTATAACAACTAACCAGAAAACACGCACAGTACAACACATTAAAGCTAATTAAAAATTTAAGGACTATGCCATTCGCCTTGGAATTAGATCTCTTTTATCATTCTTCTTTGTAGCCTCACCCCATGCTTAGTATGCTATTAGGTACTTCACCTTTGTTGAGTGAATGCCATGTTTCATGAGGCTGCAGCATTTAAATGAAGTAACTCATTTCTGGATCTTCAAATTACCATCATCAATATAAATTTATTGCTGTAGGGTTCTTATTGAGTGCAATGATTTAACTCTCAGTTCTTAGGGTTGGGAGGACTCGTGAGCATTCGTCTAGTCCAACCCCACACTCTGTGCTAAGCTCTTCTCCCCAGGGCTTTCCCACAGCGGCAACGAGACCTTTGCTTGTATTCATTTGCATTTGAATTTCTGATTATCATGGCAAAGCATCAAGCTGTATGTGGCAGCCTGCAAGTGTCTGCAGAGTAGCTTACTTTTCCTTATTATTATTATTACTTTTTAGAAACAAGGTTCCACTCTGTTGCTGGAGTGTAGTAGCATGATCATAGCTCACTGCAACCTCCAACTCCTGGGCTCAAGTGATCCTCCTGCCTCAGCCTCCTGAGTAGCTCAGACTACAGGTGCACGCCAACACACCTGACTAATTTTTAAAATTTTTGTAGAGGCAGGGCTCACTGTGTTGCCCAGGCTGGTCTTGAACTCCTGGCCTCAAGTGATCTTCCCACCTCAGCCTGCCAACGTGTTGGGATTATAGGCGTGAGCCACTGTGCCTGGCCTTACTTTCCAATCATAAGTAAAATCGAGCCTAATAAACAAAAATAAGAATTTGATGGGCTTATGAATTCATTTCATCATTACACCTAGACTAGGGGTTGGTATTTTTTCTATAAAGAGACAAAAAGAGAACATTTTAGACTCTATGGATCATAGGGTCTCTGTCACAACCACTCAACTCTGCTGTGCTCCAGTAAAACTGTATTGGCAGAAGCAGGCAGTGGGCTGGACATGGCCCATGGGCCACAGTGTGCTGAGTTCTGACCGTGACCATCCCCTTCCCACAGGGCCCCAACTGGGCTAGCACTGCCAGAGCGTGGGGATGAAGATGTAGGCCCGCCCTCTCAGTGCAGCTTCTGCAAGTGCAGTGACTTCCCAGATAAAGTAGCCAGCCTGTTACTTCTCTGTGATTTATAGTCACTGGACTTGCAAGTTTCCTTTAAATATGTCAGGCTCTGACTCTGGAGGCTCTGCGCACTGCTACCCTCCCACCTCCAGTGTGTCCCCACCCGAGCCCTGTCTGAGCCTGGTGGCAACCCTGGGTGCCGCAGCCCTGGCAGCTGATGCTGCGAAGGCCTGAGACTCAGCAGTGTGTGTACATCCTGGATCAGCCCTTTACCCTTTAGGACAAAGGGAGTTGGGAAAGGAACTATGTCTTCCTTCCTCCTCCCACAGCCTTTGGGCAGCCCTTCCGTTAGCTTTTTCGCTCCCAAGGAAAATTTTAAAGTCCTCTTTAGCCCATTTTGTCTAAAATGCTATAGAGCAGTTTGGCAATGACTACTAACATTTTCATATCCACAACCCAGCAATTTGACTTTTTCAGGATCTACCCTAAAGAAACATGTGTTTGTGTGCATGAGGAGACCTGCACAAGGATGTCCACTGTAGCCTGCTGGACAAGGAGCTGGAAGCAAATGGCTAAACAAACTGGGGTGTCCTGATATTGTGGATAGTATGCAGCTATAAAAGTGAATGAGGGCCGGGCGTGGTGGCTCACGCCTGTAATCCTAGCTCTCTGGGAGGCCGCGGGCGGATTGCTCGAGGTCAGGAGTTCGAAACCAGCCTGAACAAGAGCGAGACCCCGTCTCTACTATAAAAATAGAAAGAAATTAATTGGCCAACTAATATATATATATAAAAAAATTAGCTGGGCATGGTGGCGCATGCCTGTAGTCCCAGCTACTCGGGAGGCTGAGGCAGAAGGATTGCTTGAGCCAGGAGATTGAGGTTGCTGTGAGCTAGGCTGACGCCATGGCACTCACTCTAGCCTAGGCAACAAAGCGAGACTCTGTCTCAAAAAAAAAAAAAAAAGTGAATGAGGTTGGGGTGAGGTGGCTCACACCTGCAATCCTAGCACTTTGGGAGGCTGAGGCAGGAGGATCGATTGAGGCCAGGAGTTCAAGACCAGCCTGAGCAACAACAGCAAAACCCCATCTCTACAAAAAATTAGAAAAAAATAATAGCCAAGTGGGATGGTGCACACCTATAGTCCCAGCTACTCAGGAGGCTGAGACAGGAGGATTAGTTGAGCCCAGGAATTCAAGGTTGCAGTGAGCAGTATTCATGCCACTACATTCTAGTCTGGGCAACAGAGCAAGACCCTGTCTCAAAAAAAAAAAAAAAAAAGACACAAATAAGGTTTGCAAATCATATATCTGATGAAGGATTAATACGCAGAATATATGAACTCTGAACTCCTAAAACTCAACAACAAAAAACCCCCAAATAACCCAATTCAACAATGGGCAAAGGACTTTCACAGACATTTCTCCCAAAAGATACACAAATGGCCAATATGCAAATGAAAAGATGCTCAACATCACTTATCTTTAGGAGATACAAATTAAAATTAGATACCACTTCATACCCATTAAGACGGCTATTATCAAAAAAACAGAAAACAAGTGTTGTCGAGGATAAGGAGAAACGGGAACCCTTGAGCATTGCTGGTGGGATTATAAAATAGTACAGCCTCTGTGGAAAGTAAGGCAGCTCCTCAAAAAATTAAACAGAATTACCATGTGATCCAGCAATTCCACTTCTGGAAACTTCCAGAAAATGATTGAAAGCAGGGACTCAAACAGATACTTGTACACCAAAAGGTTCATAGCAGCATTATTCATAATAGCCAAAAGATGGAACTCACCCAAACATCAACTGAGTGATGGATGAAGGGACAAACAAAATGTTGTGTTTGTACACACAAACACACACACACAATGGAATATTATGCAGCCTTAAAAAGGGATGAAATTCTGATACCTGCTATAACATGGATGGCCCTTGAGAACATGATGGTAAGTAAAATTAGTCACAAAAAGACGAACATTATATGATTCCACTTAACTGAGGTACATGCATGTGTGGTATATCTCATGACACAATGAGGTCTCAGTGAAGCTCAGAGAGAGAGAAAGTAGAACAACAGTTACCAAGGGCTGGGGTGGGGGAGAAGGGGAGTAACTGTTTAACACACACACAGTTTCGGTGTGGGATGATGACGAGTTCCGGAGATGGATGACGGATGGTGGCGACTGGCGCGTAACAATGTGACAGTACCTAATGCCACCGAACCATATACTTAAAAACGGTTCAAATGGTAAATTTCATGTTATGGATATTTTAGCACAATTTTCAAAGATGGGCAAATGATATGAACAAGAAATTCACAGGAGACAAAATATGTAAAACCAATAAACTCACAAAAAAAGAAAAAAGAATGAGGTAGCAGTACATGGACTGAAATGGGCATTTCTCTAATGAATATTGTATTATTTGGACATGAAAAACATAGAAGAATACATAATTTCCATGGGTGCACAGAAATGTATTTAAATGCAGAAGCCCGTCTGGAAGGACACACTCACAGCTCCCTCTTGGGAAGGAAGGAGGGAGCAAGAGTGGAGTAGTGATGAAGGGGACGTTAACCTTATCTGTAATGCTTTAAGCGTGTACAGGGAGAATTTCTTCAATGCACTTCCTGTGTAATTAAATGTTATTTCTAAAAAACCCAAATGGTCGAAAGGCAGAAGCAGAGAAGGGACATTCAAGGTGCCGCTGCTGAGACCAGCTCTGGGCCCCCACCAGGTGCCACAGGCACAGGGCCCCCACAGGCTCTGGGCCCCCACCAGGTGCCACAGGCACAGGGCCCCCACAGGCTCTGGGCCCCCACCAGGTGCCACAGGCACAGGGCCCCCACAGGCTCTGGGCCCCCACCAGGTGCCACAGCAGTTGGAGGGCAGGGCTGGGGTCATGGGGGAGGACAGCGCCTTAAACTTGCCTCACGACATCTCATGTGGACATTGTGGCTTTTCGCACCATCTGTGAAATGGTATTGTTTTTTAAAACAGGGCGGTAAAAGCAATAAATCACTGCTTATACAGAAGAGCACCCTTGCTTCATAAAGATTTCTGTGTCAAGCAGAGATCATGGGAAAATAACCTCGGTGAAGCAAGATTTAGTGTTTTTTTAAAACCCATTATTTTTTTTTTTTTCTGGCAGTGAGAGTAATAGATGCTCAATGTTGAAAGTAGAAGTATAGTTCTTTCAAAAAATGTTTCTTAAAACTATCAATAACTGCACAACACCAAAATGGCTACGGCTAACATTTTGGCCTTTTTCTGTCCAGCTTTCATCTATGGAAGTTTTTATCTTGATGAAGTGAAATTGTTATCATATTTTGTATCCTGCTCTTTTAATATTATAGTCTATACCCTCTCCCAAATTAAAAAAAAAAAACACTTCATAAAAATGATTTTTTTTTCTTTTTTTTTTTTTTGAGACAGAGTCTCGCTTGTTGCCCAGGCTAGAGTGAGTGCTGTGGCGTCAGCCTAGCTCACAGCAACCTCAAACTCCTGGGCTCAAGCAATCCTGCTGCCTCAGCCTCCCGAGTAGCTGGGACTACAGGCATGCGCCACCATGCCCGGCTAATTTTATATATATATTAGTTGGCCAATTAATTTCTTTCTATTTATAGTAGAGACGGGGTCTCGCTCTTGCTCAGGCTGCTTTCGAACTCCTGACCTTGAGCAATCCGCCTGCCTCAGCCTCCCAGAGTGCTAGGATTACAGGCGTGAGCCACCGCGCCCGGCCTAAACTGACAATTTTTTAAATAAACGGTTCCATCTTTGATTTTTTGAAAATAGCTGTTTACATCTACTGGGCTTTTAGTGTTTTTTTTCATAACAATCTATATGGTCGCTTTCTATAATAAGGCTACTAAGTCTGTCATCTGGACGTCTTTAAAAATGTGCATAGATCCCCTTTAAATTCCCAGGGAGATACCTTTCAGGAGGTGCAGCAGTGTCAAGGACAAATACTGCTGAGGAGGGGGCTCCTTCTGATCCTTGGTGTACTGGGTGGTAAAATCTTCCAGCCACTTGATGAAAGCAGGGCAGGCAGACAAGCCTTGAAGCAGGGAGTTCATGAAGCAGGTGTTTCCTAAATTGACGAGGCCAGGCACAAGCCCTAAAAAAAAAGAGGGAGGAAAAAGAGAACAGCACATCACATTTCACCAACTCTCTTTTCTCTCCCATTTGAGACCCAGAGTCTCTGCACTGTGGCCTTAAATTTGGAATGCCAATCTGAGCAGGTCCTTAACCAGAGACATCTGGAGGCCAGGCCTTCTGTCTGTGCCAAGGCCTGGTCCCAGTACTGCAGGCTGTAAGCAACAGAAGGACAGGTTCCTGTCGTGTGCTATTTCTGAAAGTCATCACAGTATCTGGCACAGCTTGGTTCATACTAAATGTATAAAAACACATAGTAACCATCTCCTCTCTTTTTCTCTCATTCTCTCATGTGTTCTCTTCTTTAATAGGAAAGCAATGTTTTTCAGAACAGAAGAAAACAATTGTTTCATTGTTGCTTCCCCGGGACAGCAATTTTGTTCTTATCTTAACAATCATGGGAAAGACATCACTGTGCTAATTCTGATCAGTCTTTCTGCAAATCTGATAATTCCCTCTTCTGCTCCAAATTTTTAAAAAACTTCTTATTATAAAAAATTCTCATTGCAAAGGATATTTACAAGAAGGGAAAGAAAAAAATTCTCAAACATGCACAAAAGGAGAGAGAATGTATAATGAACCCCAATCATAACCCTCTTCAGAATTAATAATGATCAAATTTTGCTACATCCTTGTCTTCTTTCTTTGCTGAATTTTGATCAATGTTAAATAGTGCAACATTTGCAAAAGGGGCATTTTAAAAAAATAAGGAAATTGATTTTTTATTAATGAAGAAACTAACTTGAAATTTTTACCAGTTACTAGGAATCTAGCTTGAGAGACCACAAATGCATGACATAATTAGTCAGCTGTACTACCGAAAAACACAATTGCCATATTAATGAGAACACGGAGACAATTAAGCCACTTAAAATTTTTCATTACAAAGCATGCCTCCAGCTCACGACAGAAGAGGGGCTGAAATAGAAATGTTTTTACTCCAGGGTGTACAATACCGAGTTGATGTCAAAGTACTGCTTCAAAAACTGAAGTCCTCATTTTAAAGATACAAGAGAACAAAAAAATGACCACTCCCCTCCTGTTTTGTACTGTTTTCAGATAACAGGGTTCTGAGTTACATCTACAGACTGTGATACCGTGGCCACATTCTTACCTTTTCTACGCTTCTTTCTTTCTGTAATGGGACCCCAAATAACATATATTCCTGCTGCAAGAGCAGCGGCAATTCCACCTAGAACTCCCCAGTTCTTCATGACTTTATATCTAAAACAGAAAATAAGTTTACTGTCTTTTCTCATCCCAAACATAATATGTAGATATATAGATAAGTAGAATAACATTTTGCAAATAAGCCACCAAGTACCCAACTTTCAAATTAAAGTAATATAAAGTAATAGGATTCTGTCTTAAAAATCAGGATGTTTAGACATTAGGATTTTTTTCATGCAACATTGTTTTAAAGACTTTTTTTCTTTCTTTTCTTCGTTTCTTTTCTTCTCTCTTCTCTTCTGTTCTCTTTTCTTTAATTTATAGACATTAGGATTTAAAATCTATGTCAGAGCACAACCTTCCAAAAGCTGAATTTCACTCATTCCTCCCACTCTGCCTCTTACCCCACCACCACAATGGCCACCACCATCCAATACTCAGACCTCAGGGACTTTGCACTGCCGCTCCCTCTGCCTGGAATGCTCTCCCCCTAGATCATTGCTTGGCTCACTCTCTCACCTCCTTCACTTCTCAAGAGGCGTGCCCTGAACACATGATTGGAACCTGTACTCCTGGTCCCTATTACCTGGTTCCTTTTCTTTTTACCGTAACACTTACCACCTGCTAACATAAAATTCACTATTCACTACATTTGTCGTCTGTCTCCCTTGACTGGAATGTAAAGTCCTTGAGGGCAAGGATCTTTGTTTTTACTCATTGACATATCCCAAGTGTCTAGATCATGCACTGCAGATAGTAGGTTCCCAATAATATCTACTGAATGATTGAATACTGGAGAAAACATATTGAAATTGATTTTTCTTTTAGAATATTAAACAGGGAAGGAGTAAACAATAGTGTAAAAGATCTGAATATTTATAAAATTAAAGATTTTTTAATATCAAGCTTGACTGGAACATTGAAGTCATTCTTGTGCTATAAATGAATTAATTTCACCAGCAATTTAAAACATTATTTTTATACAAAGTTATGTATTTCCACCAAATAAGGCAAACCATGTATGTATGGATACCTATATGTAATATATATGTGTACCTGTGTTACAAATGTATATATGTAATATATTCTTATTCCAACATTGGGATCATGTGAATATCATTTTGCTCGCAGCTTAGTAAACATTAACTTAGTAAAGCATCACTGATGATAATAATGACTCTGTCTTATAACAGTTAACATTTTCCTAGTGGCATAGCTAACAGCTGATTTTCAAATAAATCTTTGTTTTTCCAAGACAGAGTCAATAGAACATGCACAGAACTTGGTTAAATAAGTGAGACAACATTAACCTGGTTCAATTCTGGCTCTGTTATTTCCTAGGGCATCACTTCACCTTCTAAGCCTCTGTACAAAACAATCATGAGACCTATCTCATAGGGGTTTTTGTGAGTATTAAATAAGTGCTAATAGATTGTAGGGTACATAATAAAAACTTGATAAATGTTAGCTGCTACAATGATTGGTTATTATAAACTCAGATTCATTAATGAAAGTTATTCTTTAAGTTTCTTAATGCATCACTGTGCTGACTTTCACACAATACATATATTCACAAAAGTGCCTAGAAAGGTTAAGATGGATTATCATTGAAGTGCTAAAGAATTTTACAAGTGCTTTAAAATTCCCTAATTAAGGCCAGGCGTGGTGACTCAACGCCTGTAATCCTAGCACTCTGGGAGGCCGAGGCGGGCATAATGTTTGAGCTCAGTAGTACGAGACCAGCCTGAGCAAGAGCGAGACCCCATCTCTACTAAAAATAGAAATTAAAAAATATATAGAAAAAATTAGCTGGGCATGGTGGTGCATGCTTATAGTCCCAGCTAATTGGGAGGCTGAAGCAGGAGGATGCCTGAGCCCAGGAGTTTGACGCTGCTGTGAACTAGGCTGACGCCACGGCACTCTAGCCCAGGCAACAGAGTGAGACTCTGTCTCGATAAATAAATAAAATTCCCTAATCAAACATTAATATTTAAGGGTGCATACTCTATGCCAGGCACGGTGATAATCTTATCTCATTTTCAAAACAACTTCACGGAAGTAGGTTCTACTTATCACCTCCATTTTCATAGACAAGGAAACTAGGGGACAAACTTAGTCACAGTGAGCAAGGAACCATGGCTCTGAATCAACACCCAAGTCTATGCTTAAAAGTAAAACCACAAAGTTCATGGGAGAAACTGAATGAAATAGTGTTGGAAAGGATGGGAGGGAGGTTTGCCCCGGTCCTTAGCATGGCATGGACAAAAACCCCAGGGTAAAGTGGCAACTCTGGACACTCCAGTCCTCTGCAAAATGACATCACGAGGAGCTTGGAGGGGCCTCAGAACAGGATAGATCTAGCTTCTCTTCCAACTCTGCTACTATTAGGTCAGCTGTGGAGCCACAGGCAAGGTTGTCTCAAGGCCCATGTCTCATCTACAGAATGGGGACAATGGACAGAACAGCCACTGAGGACTTCCAGCCCTATGATAGATAACAAGCTATTTAGATCCGCTCCAGTTCCAGAGGAAGCCAACCTTGGCAACAGGTCTCAGTCATTTGGGATCAGCACTGGGGGTGCGGTGCTCAGCTCTGAAGCCTGGAGCCCTTGGGAGGGTGATGCAGAAAAGGGAAATGGGGGTTCTTACAGGATTGGGGACTCAGACAACAGGGAGTTCTAACAGGAGCAGAAGGTCTTAACAGGTTAAGGGTGTCTGTCTGGTTTAGGGATCCCTGCAAGGTAAAGGTCTTTATTCACACTAATAATATTGGGGACCCAGACAGAAGTGAGGATCCCTGGAAGAACTGGGGGGAGAGTGTGACAGAAATAGGGGTACTCATAAAATGGGGGGGGTGAAGGCCCGGGGGGGGGGAACTTATAGGACTTCAAGAACCACAGCAGGATTGGGGAGCTGGGCAAGACTGGGAAACCCTGGCAGTCCACAAGCATATGATTGGGGGCCCAGAAGGATTGGGAGTGTCCTACAAGGACCCTCATGAGGGGTCTTGGCAGGCCTCGGAGGCACTGAGAGGACTGGAGAGCACTGACTGGAGAGAGAGGACTGGAGAGATTTCCAGGCCTTGAAAAGACTGGAGGGACCTGGAAGTCCTGGGGCCAATAACAGGATCGAGGAGGCTCCAGCAGGGCAGGGAAGGCAATGACAGAATTGGGCAGCGCTGACCGAATTGGTGCTGCCGAAGGATTCGGGTCCCTTAGAGGTCCATCATCCCTCCCACCTCACGGTCTGGGCTTCCAATGCTACAGGTCGCAGGAAGCTTAGGAGTGTCCGCTCAGGCCCTGGGGACCCTGAGTAGGGCGAGAAAAGGCCACCACAGGCCCGGTCTGGGGACTCCAGTCCTGGCCTCTCCAACCGCCCCGCCCCCCAAAACTCACCTGACGGCCACCCCAGTCCGCAGGAAGCGCTGGATGGCCCTGTCGGCCGCGGTCATGGCCGCCTCGGCCCGGGAGCTCAACATTGCGCTCGCGCCCGAGGCCCGCCGTCGCCCCCGCCGCTGCCGTCGCCGCCGGACGGAGGGCTCCGAAGACTCCCACGGCAGCGGAACCCGCGGTCACAGTCCCGGCCTCTTGGGGGAAGTTAGGCCGAAGGACGACGGCCTCCCAGGAGGACCGGAAGTAGCCGCCGCCGGAGAGCAATAGCCGACGGACCACGTCCTTGTTCTTTATTTCCCCTTAGCAACGGGCGCCAGCGTCGGTTGTTAAGGGAGGCTCAGCCGCCCGGGGCCATTTCGTTTTCACGTTTTGCCCAGGTTCCATCCACAAAAACAGATGCCCCACTTCCATGAAGGGACCCAGGGTCGTGATTTGAATTTTTCAATGTGGAGAGGAAAAGCGGTCAGGTCTCTGCTACCATTAATTATTCCAGTCGTCAGAGTGGAAATAGGTCGCAGAGGAAGGGCTTTTAATTAGCATATGGCCCATCTCTGACTGTATCAGAAAAACCAAGGTCTTTCACGGTAACAACCACCAAATTTATTGTTTACCTAGGTGCCTGGTACATTGCTAAGTAGGTCACATGCATTATTCACATTTAATATTCACACCAACCCTAACGTTACCCACATTTTACATACCAGGCAACCCAAGAAATTCACAGAAGTCTTTTGACACAGCTTGTAAGTGGTGGAATCGAAATTAGCAAGTCCCTGTGTCTCCAGAATAGCGCTGTCCAATAGAAATATTAATATAACAGGAGCTACATAGGTAAGTTTGAATTTTCTATGGGCCACATTGAAGTAAAAAGCAAGAAGGGAAATTAATTTTAACAATATATTTTGGTTGACCCAACATATTCAAAATATTGCCATTTCTATCTAAAAATTATTGATGATTTACTTTTTTTTTTTTTTTAACTAAGTACATCTCAATGTGGCGCCATCCTAGCTCACTGCAGTCTCAAACTCCTGGGCTCATGTAACCCTCCTACCACGGCCTCTCAAAGTACTGGGATTGCAGATGTGAGCCCCCGCACCCAGCAAGACTACCCACGTTTTACGTTCTCAATAGCTACAACCGTGGCTACCACGTTGGACAGCACAGTTTATAAAGCATTAGGGCCTGAGAGATTTTGCTGGCCCTTTTAATCACTTTCCTCAACTCCACACCAAATAATTGCAACTGCTTTAGTAAAGAAAGTAATGTATTAGCTCAGTGGTTCTCTGAAGTTTTGGTCTCAGATCTCTTTGTGTGCTTCAACATTACTGAGAGCTTTTGTTTATATGGGTTATATCAAACTGTGTTTATCCTATTATAAATTAAAATTGAGAAATAAATTTTGCTTTTTAAAAATTGAGGTATACAGGCATACCCATTTTATTGCACTTTGTAGATACTGCATTTATTTATTTATTTTTACAAATTGAAGATTTGTGGCAACCCTGACTAGAGCAAGTCTATGTGTGCCATTTTTATAACTAATAGTTTTTTTTTGGTGAAATCCTTAGGGTTTTCTGCATATAAAAACATATCTCCTGCGAACAGAGATAATTTTACTTCTTTCTTTCCAGTTTGCATAGCTTTTATTTCTTTTTCTTGC